TAGTTTTCAGCGTCGCTGAGTCTTCTGCGGCAGTTGCCTATACCAACTCTTCGCCGCGCGTCCCAAGCATAGCCAAAATGGGTTGCACCAGGCACTTTGGGGCATACTTGTGCTCTTCATCTCGTAGATAAAACGCTTGAGCCACTGAAGCGATGCGTCAGAACGGTACCGTTTGCCTTCGAACTCGGCGATTTTGTCGAGTGAAGCGTGAGTCCCAACTTCCAGGTACTGAGGCGAGTCTTATGCTGCCGCGTCGAAGCTCAAGTTTCGGATGTAGTCCTTCACGGTTTCTTCACGGTTTCCTCTCACATCGAAGGGGTCTTCGTCGTCCTCGTGAGCTTCAGCTTCGTCTGCAGCGTCATACAATTCACGGTAGCGACCTGCATTTCGCTGTCCACGACACGGTGCTCGCTGAGTCGGGTTGAGCTTCATCGGAGTCAGCATGTGGGAAACTTCGAAGTATGGAGTGCCTTGCGTAGCGCGAAACACCTCACGTCTCTTCATCTCTGGGGTCTTCGGCAAAGGAATTTTGCTTGGGTCTTCGCCGAGTGCTTTGAACTCAGCTACTCGGCTGTACACCTGCTTCGTTCCACCAGGGGCCTTCTCCAATCCAAACGCCACTCTCGACTTCTTCCTCCATTGCCAGAGCTCAGCTCCGCCGCGGGTCAGACTCCAGTCGGACAGGATGAGGCTGTTTGGTCGGCTGTTGCACCGATAGCCCATCGCCTTTAGCAGCAACACAGTTTCTTCCATCAACTGATTGATGTTGGCTGCATGCACCGGTTGAGTTAGCTCGGGCCCCAAGATCGGCCACGTGGCCTGCGCCATCGCCACAGGCGCAAACATCATCATTCACTCCGAACTCGTCCTCATCTCTTCGTCAAGTCGAGCCAACACTTTATTGGCGCTCGGAGAATCGGCGTTCCTCGTCGTTTTCAGAATAAGGGGCGGACGGTCCCCTTGAGCAACGCCATGTTCTTCTTCATCTTCTTCATCGTCCGCACCTTCGTCGAGCTCGGCGGACAAGTTGCGCTTGACAGGACGTGGGGCTCGCATGCGTCCCACCTGCAGCGTCAACTCTTCCATTCCGCCACGTAACTCGGCGGTAGTCTTCGTTTCTCCGAGCTCAGCGGTCTCGGCCTTCTCTTCATACTCTCCTTCACTTGCATCTCCGTCCCCATCGAAGTGGACGGTTCGTCCCACCTCCATCGTTATGGCGATGAGTCGTTGATCTGCCGGGTCCGACCCCGCGAGAGGCGATCCTCCAGCCGTCGCTGGACTTCCGTCGCTCGGAGTTGCTGATCCCTTGACCAGCTTCACTCTTCTCTTTCTGTTCTCTTCCTGTTAACTTGGTTAGCTGGCACCTATAAAAACAAGCACACACTCCTGTTCCCGGGTCGCGGCACCAGTTGTGGTGTAGTAGAACACACAAATACCGTCAGATGTGGATTCCTTACACAAACCACAGCAAACCGCCGAGTTAGGTCGGCAGCTGTATGGCCTGCGCAGAGGGTGGTCCCCTCGCGGTTCGGCCCTTCCGGGGCAGACGAGTGGCTCGCTTCCACTCAGTTCTGACTAACCAAGTCAGAGCACTTCCGAGGCTCTGCCGAGTTTGTTTCGGCTGAGCTCGTTCACAAACCCTGTGCCCTCCACCAAAGGATGGACGACGGCGCGCGAGCGCTTTTACAGGTCACCGAGCGCAGAGGCTGCTCAGCTAGAAGTGTTACGGCACCCGGGCTATCCGACATACCGGCCCGCTGAGTGTGCGGGATTTTCTTTCGCGCGTAGCGAGACTTTGTCCTACCCGGACCGACCTAATCTCTTGGCGCTACCAGTCAATACCCTACAAGCTATATCTCTCGAGTATTGACAGCAGGCATAATCCATCCCTATGCAGGGACTTAACGGAAGAGTGTACACGTGTCTTGGACTAAGAAAATTATGCTCTGTTATCTTCTGGGAGCCTTTTCGGCTTTCCCTATTTAATCCTATGCTTCTCATACAAATATCTAGTAAAATGTAGTCGCTTCGGATCTCTACCGACCCTTCCGCTGGGTTCAGGCGACCGTTCAGCTCAGCGGCTATCCGGATAGCATCATCCGGACAGATTGCTGAGTACTTGCCGTGATCCTTTGTTCCTAAGCTCTGGGTTATCAGACCGAGCCGATTCTTAATCTAAAGTAGGTTGACGTATGGTCGAATCTGGAAATCCCTACACCACATTAGCATACTCAAAATAACCAGATCATGCCTAGATTTATTCACGTTATCACGCCATCTATTATAGTAGCAGCAAGCATTACCTGTGCTGAGAGAAGAATACCCACCTCGACAGCGGCGTTCGTCCAAGCATTCAGCTATGCCGCCCCAGTCCGTTTAAGAGTCCAAAATAGAAGAGATCACAAAGTCCAGCAGTGCAGGTGAGGGACCCCGTTTTCTCCTTTGATAGCGAAAGAGATATACGATACTTTCTGCAGTAATGTTGAAGAGATAGCAGTAGAGACTTTGCGAATTTACCCGAAAAAAACTATCAGGCCTGACATGAGCATCTACATTTAGCCAAGTCAGACTGCACGCCAGCGAGATTGGGTTGTGCTAACAGCAGACAATTTTGCGCCACTAGTTGCTTCAGCCTATACTAACTACCAGAAGGGCCCAAAGGACCCTTTTGAAATTGAAGTGTATGTGCTCGCTGCGAAGAGGAGCGCCGCACGCTCCCAGGGACCCGGCGTGCTACTGCATCAAGAATGCAAAAAGCACAGCTTGTATCGATGGGTACTTGGCACAGAGGCCCGATCTCCAAGCTGGAAAGAATGCCAGAGCCCACTGGTCGATCTCCCATGCCCATCAGCTAGAGGGCTCTATTATTACACCGCCCGACACTGCTACCTTCGCTCACGCTCAGCATCTCGACGATATGCTGGCTGAAGAGAAGGTTTGAAAAGGAGAGCGCGTACAACACGGTCAACGTACGGATTAATGGGTCGCAAGAGATTCCAATCACTTTCAATATACAAGCGCTTCGCCTTGGTTTGCAGTTGTCCAACTACAACCTATTGGCGAGCGGAGTCCTTTCCTTCTTTGTGCCTCCACAGGAGCAAACGAAGGCGCCGAAGACCTTGACCACGCCAGTGATTAGCGCTTCATCTCATTCAATTTAGGTGAAAACAATGCATTAAATCTGAAATTTGTCTTGCTACTCTCGATAAAATCTAACTCCCACCCACCCCTCCCTCCTCCCCCATTATTTACTCTATACTGAATGCCACCTCGTTTACTCCTCCTGAACCATACCCGCAATGCTGAAAAAGGTTTACCCCGTGCTCCTCACACCGTAGGCATTGCTTCATCGCCACCTATAAAACGAGCTCTGGGTAATGAGCGAAGACCATATTAGCGCATCGCTGTATCCAGCTCAGAGAGGCCTCGGCACTGCTTAGGAAACCGTTGCTTCACCTCTGCAAGAAGCTTCTCAGCATAGAAGCAGGAATGGCTCGCATACGAAGCAACATAAGCTTTGATGTCAGCAGGATACACTGGCCGAGCTTCTCTCTCTTTGGCTAGCACATGCCCAGTCTCCTCGAACTGGGCATACCACCTCCTCACTGCTCGACCCGAAACTCCGAGAACGCGCCCTACCACCTCACATGGCAATGCATAAGCGTAGTGTAGCGTAGCTGCGCGCCATATAAAATCTGCCGAGTAGATGGCCGTCTTGGACTAGAGCTCGAGGGAGAAGAATGGCGAATGACAGCGAGTCGATTCAATTTGTCAAATTGAAAGTAGGAATGAGATTAAGTACGAAAATTTACTTTGTTTTACATGGAACGTGAGTTCATTCTTATTAATGCTTTTGAGGCATATTTAAATGTCCCCAAGATAGGCATTTTGATTGTTTTTTACAATAATTTGTTCGCTATTAAAAGTGGCGAGCTATACAATACTGGAAGTAATTAGGAGAAAATCTATTGGCCTAGCCAAATGCTTTCAAGATTTGTCGAGGAATTGTTGGATACAACTCTTGTCATTTTCCCAATTAATTATGCAGTCTACAGTACATTAGATTTTTTAATACTTGAAGTAGAACGTAGAAATTAATAGTATCTACTAGCCTGGTATAACCAGGCCTTCCGATTTTACAAAATTACTATTTTTTGCAGCAGTACTTAGGTACCGTTATTAATTAACTAAACCAAGTTTAATTCCTTGAAAACATATGCTATTTATCTCTAGATGGTGCCTCATGAAGGAATCCTTCGCCCATCTGCGATCTGATGGTCCTTCAGTCTGAAGTTCAGACTCTGAAGTTCAGAAGGATCATCAGATGGCAGATGGGCGATTTCGTGCAAGAGATGGTCTCGCTCGTTCCAAGGGAGTTTTTGTGGAAGTGAGTTCATGCACTGAGATGGAGGAAGTTAATTAGTCCACTGGAGCGAGCGGGATGCAGGGCTGCCCGACATTTGCGAAGGTTTTTTCGCGCCAAGCTCTTCAGCAAGCCGAGTACATGTAATGCACTCTCCAGCGGTGAGAGGGTCTATTTATCGCAGAGCAAAGCAAAATGGCATCCATCCGCTTTATCTTTGGATTGTGGTGGTGATGAGAGCTTCAAATTAGAAGTACATGTACATGTATTTACAGCTCGAAGTTATATTGTAAGGAATAAAACGGTAGTAATAAGTTGCATTTTGGGGTATTATGATCTCGAAAATGAATCGTTAATAAAAGATTTTAGACTATGTTTTACTTAAAAATAATGCTTTACTTCGGGCTGTAGCTTCGAAGCAAAGCATTTGTAATACTGTACATGCACAGCTTGATGCGTATGTTTCAAAACGTTAAAAACCTCGAGAGCTGTTTTATCAAAGCAATTAACCTCGGTTTCGGCTACCATTTTGGGAGCCACACGTTGCAAGTGGTACCGGTACACTTTCACTTTACAACTCTTTCCCCAAGGAGCACGTAGTCTGCATACTCTACCTCGAATTCGCGTCAAGATAATCATGCAATCACGGTACATTTTGCTCGTGGCGGTGGCTACCCTCGTCTCCACACAGGAAACTAGTGGTGCGACTCTTTCCATGTCGAGTTCAAGTCCATTGAATGAACATGAAAGTATAAGAATCAACCACCGATTTCTGAGGACGCACACAGAAGACCATGCTGTTGAGGAAGAGGAGAGGGCACCATGGGATTTTAAAAAATTCAGTGCCAACTTAGCTGACCTGGGGAAGCTTAAACTACCGGACCTGGCGAAGCTTAAGCAAAGCCTACCAGACTGGGATAAAATCGCGGGTTATGGGAAAGCTACTGGCACGGCAGCCAAACTTGCTAGCGCGAAATCGTTCGATGAACGGCTTGCAATTATCAACGGAGTTAAGGATATCGACGAGATGAATGCCCTCTTTTTGATGACCAAGCCTCTCCTAAAGAATGTGCTTCCCGACTATGACGACACTACGTCCTTGGAGGCGCTTTTGAGAATGATAAAAAGTTCTGACTTGGATGATGACATGAAGGCATTGGCTTTGATAGCTTTCCAGCGGTATGAAGGCAGCTTGAAAGCTGGTACCTCGAAACTTGATGTTAATCCGTGATGGAGTTTGGTGGTGGCATGAACCTCAAGAGCCTTGAGTCAAGACTGGTAACAGCACAGTCGGTGCCTGTCGGTAAAGCAAAACATCATAGACACTAAGACAGCACCAATACAGAACGCAATAGTACAAGCAAGGCGCAAAGTGGTCTAGTTATTTGAACACATTAATACTCCTTGAGCGTCAGTCTCGGCACGATGTTCATGGCCTGTAACTCCTGGAACAGCAGTTTGCACGCGTACGGGATGCGGATGCTCACCACCTTCTCCTCTGACTTGCAATGTTGGCACCATCCTTCGTAGCCCAGCATACGACAGCCCTGACACACATCAGCGCTGAAGGCGTCACTGGACAGCATGAGACGCTCCATGAGCAACATACTGGCGCCGTAGCCGATCAGACAATCGCGTTCCATTTCTCCGAGACGCAGACCACCATCACGTGAGCGACCTTCAGTTGGCTGACGCGTCAAGACGGCTCGAGGACCACGTGCACGAGCGTGCATCTTGTCCATCACCATGTGCTTCAGTTTCTGGTAATAAATCGGTCCCATAAAGATGTAGCACTCGATGGCCTCACCGGTGATACCCGACGTGAGATAGTCTTTACCAGCATAGTTAAAACCATTCTTCACCAGCTCACGAGAGCAGTCCAAGACGTGATCAGCCGAGCCATACTTCTCGCCAAAGGCTGTTCCATAAGCACGACGGCCCGTGAGGACTCCAGCCTTGCCTGCAATCAACTCAATCATCTTGCCGACAGTCATTCGACTGGGGAAACCGTGAGGGTTCATGATCAGATCGGGGCAAATACCTTGGTCGTTGAAGGGCATGTCTTCCTGGTTGCGGATCGTACCACACACACCCTTTTGACCGTGACGACTACTGAATTTGTCCCCAATTTCCGGACGACGAGTCTGACGGATCAGCACCTTGACCAAGAAGTGGTTGGCTTCAGAAGACGTCAAGAGCACCTTGTCCACGTAGGCTGGAATCGGTCCCTTGTACGTTGTCGGTGACGGTGAGTACGTCACGTCGAGTGGATCACGTCCGTCAACCGAGTCGTTGAACTGTGTCGGCTGCTCCTTGTTGATCATAATCGCACCGTTCTGAACGATGCCGCCAACGCGACTGATACCGTCTGCATCTAACGACGAGAACTTGGCGTTGCGGAAGCCCATGCCAGCACCGCCCGCGGCTGCCAAACTATCGAAATCCGGTGGTCCCACAATGCGATCGTACGAGCCATTCGCGTACTTTTTAATCATCGTCTGGTACTTTTTGAAAACCATACAACGTCCGAAGCCGCGATCCAGCGAAGCCTTGTTCAGCACGATGGCATCTTCAATATCGTAGCCAGAGTAGCTCATAACAGCCACGATAGCGTTTTGTCCAGCTGGCACACGGTCGAAATTCACGAGATCTAACACACGGGTCTTCACCATGGGCATTTGCGGGTAGACCATTGTGTACAGGAGCGTGTCGATACGCTCGAATTGGTTCATAGCGATCGTACCGATAGCTTGTTTCCCCATGGCACATTGGTACGTGTTACGCGGAGATTGGTTGTGGTGAGGGTACGGGATAAGACCCGACACAACGCCCAGGATCGTCACCGGATCGATCTCCAAGTGAGTCGTGCGGTCACCGATCTCGCTCTCGTGCAGAGCCACAAGACAGTTGTTCTCCTCGTTCACATCCACGTATTCCACACAGCCTTCCACGATGAGACTGCTGAGGTCACGTACTCCAGCACGCAGCTCGTCTAAATGACGCTGCGTTAACCGCGTACGATGCGTCACAGGGTCGATAAGCAGCAGCGGGCGGCACACACGACCACCATCGGACGCAATGTACACGACGCGCTGCACATCGTGGATCATAACGGACACGAACTCGCCAATGAGACCGGCACGTCGAATACGACGCAGACGCGTCACGAAAGCGCGCGGGTTCACGTGGGTGCCAATAATCACACCATTCAGCATCACCAGGTAGTTGGACGCGTGATTAATCTCTTCCCCAGAGCTCAGAGACACGTCCGTCACGCCCAGATCGAAACACAGGCGCTTGATCGGAGCAGGCTCTTCGTCCGACGTCACATGACACAATAGGGCCAGGTTTTTCACGAGACCGCAAGCTTCACCTTCAGGTGTATCAGCAGGACAGAGCATCCCCCACTGCGACGGCTGCAGCGAGCGCGGACCTGACACTTTACGCGTTTTCTCGAACTGCGACGAGATGCGCGTCATCATTCCCAGCGCCGACATGTACGAGAGACGCGAGAGCACATGCGTGACGCCAGCACGATCCATTCGGAACCGCTTCAGCGTCCAGTTCCCCGTCGACAGAGCGTGGTAGAAACCCTGCGTGATGGTGTCGGTGCGAACACACTTGAGGATGTCGAACACGGACGCGCGGTTGGGCTTGCTCAGCACCATGTCGGCTTGACGTTTCAGGTCGCTGTTAAAGCGTTTAAACAGGTCTTCGAACAGCAGCGACAGCAGCTGACCCGCCAGCTCCAGACGCTTGTTGCCGTAGTAATCCTTGTCATCCAACCGCGTACGGTCCTTGTCGGTGAACAGGATGCGACGCACAATGTGGGCCACATAGATACTCTTGAGACGGAAGTTGAAGTTGTCGCACGGCACGTGATTCAGCACCAAGTTGGCCAGCGCCGACCGCGCAGCATCCACCAGGTTGCGGTCGTTCTGCGGTCGTCCAGCGCCGCCACGATGACGTCCACCCATCGCTCCGATCTTGGTGAGCGCATTCATCTTGGATCCAATATACTCGAGAGCCTGTTGCTGCGTAAAGACCTTGAGATCCGACGCTTCTTCGAACGACGCAGAGAGCGCGTCGCAGATATCCGACTCACTGCCCACTAAGCTGACGATCTCCTGGTCGCTCTCCACTCCCATGCCTCGGAACACAATGACAATCGGGATGTCACTGCCGAAGGAATTCGACTTCAAGTATACGCGCCCTTTGTTGAGGAAGATGTTGGTCCTGGACTTGCGTTCGTGTGTGGAACTTGTAATACTGGCGCACACATTGTGCTTGCCGTCTTCCTCGATGATAACTCGGTTCTTGGACAGCTGTTCGTGGATGAGCACCACCTTCTCCACGCCACGAACGATGAAGTAACCACCCGGATCGTACGGACACTCTTTGAGCTTGGCCAGCGCTGCCTCGCTCTTGCCAGCGAGCACACAGCGCGAGCTGCGGAGCATGATGGGGATACGCCCAATAAGCACCTTGTTATTAGTCACGATCTTATTGCCGCGACGGTAGCGCACGCTCACGTAGACAGGCGCGGCGTAAGTGCGGTCTCGAAGACGGCACTGATGAGGAGTGACGCTGGCGCTTACGAAGGCTTCTTCGTCGATGGAAGGTGCGCCCAGCTGGATGTCCGTGTACTGTAAGAAGAACTTGGGGTCGGCGTCGCTGCGGACGACGTTATTAGCCTGTGCACGCACGATGTTGCGCATATCTACAGACGTAAAGTAGTCGAACGAGTCGATGTGTTGCTTCACAAGGCCGCGCAGTTGCAGGAAATAGGGCAAGAGCTTCCATTTGTCCTTGACACTGCTAACCGGCTTCTCCAGCTCCTCCATCGACACGGCGGACGGCGGCGTCATGCCGGCAGGACCCGCAGATGGAGCCATGGCAGAATGCAGAGTGATTGTGGCTTTACGGCGTTTGGGAAACTACTGGTCGGCGGTGAATGGTGTGAAAAACATCAAATAGACAGCCCCAGAAATGTAGCCATCTATTCGTTTCATGCACCAACGCAAAAACTTGCATCATTATTCTTTGCAATTGCAATGGTACCCATAATTGGCTTTTAGACACTTGGAGTTGCTGACAACTTGCCTGCTTTCAGTTCCATATTTGGATCGTTACAGTTCGTGCGTGTTCGTGGACACACTGGCGCTCCGCAGATGCGCAAGCAGCTCTGTTACGAGGGATCCTTGGGCGTGCAGCACGTCCAGCAATGCCTGGCGCTCCTTCCCGTCTTGTTGGGCCTTCTGCTTTTCCCAGGCCAGTCTCTCTTCTTCCAGAGCCACACGTCGCTCCTCCAGCCGTAATTTCCGCTCTTCAAAATTCGACAGTGTTTCCGCACCAGTCCTATCCATGCGGGGTCTCTTCAGCTCCTGCACAGGGCCACCAATTGGCACTGACGGCGTCCGCAGTGGACGTTTGTTGCCATTCTGCAGCAACTGATGTTGTACTGTGAGATTCTGAGGCACCGGACTGGGGGGACTGGAGCGAGCAGGTACAGCCGACGTCGCAGACGGAGCGGGGGCAATGGGCATCAAAGGAGCTGCCGACGGCACGGCGGCAGGAGGAGGAGGAGGCGTGAGACCCGCAGACGGCGGTAGCGTCAAACCGCCCGGTCCTTCAAGCTCTGCTAAGCCATGTTGCGCCACTTGCAGTGCCGATTGCACGCGTTTCTCGCGCATTGCTCCCTTGTTAAGTGTTTGCTCGTCCACCTAAAATACACCATAACTCGATCAGTTGTCAACGGACTTGGCCTATTTCAGTCGCAATAGCTACGTACCACACGCGCCAGGATAGCTAGCAGCTTATTGCGCATATCGAACTCCTCGGGTGTCCCGGAGCCGCGTAACGCGGACAATTCGTTCTTGCGAAAAGCTTCAAGCAACATGTCTATGCGCCGTTTAACTATAGCGTGGTCCAGCGCACTACCGCGCGTGAAGACCACGCCTTTCAAGCTCTCCAGCGCGGTCTGCACGCGCGAGGCCACCGCCATCCAGGCAGAGCGCGTGCGGCCGTAGCCAGCGGCCCACGGGAAATCGCGAATCACTTCACGCACCAACACCACGTCAAAGGCAGGTTTGAAGCGGAAGAGGCGGCGCTTGCCGCCAGCCGCGTCTTCCTCTTCGTCGCCTCGGAACTCGTCCATCATCTCAGCCTTCTGTTGGTTCTCCTCGAGCTCTTCCTGCTGCATTATTGCTTCGAGCGATTGGCGTTTGTTTTTGAACTGGTAAAAAATGAGCCTCGTTACAGAAATTTCTTTTCACCTGGTTTTTGTAAGGTTTGAAATGATCATTAAGATACACTGAGCGCGCGAAAATTTTCTTCTCTGAAGCCAACTTTTGCCTTACTGAAACCAAATGAACTTTTTCGAAAATTTCATGTGGTGTACCAAGCATCGAATTTCATTTTTTGCCTTTTTTTCATCAAAGTGTCCATGGCGGTGCCCGTGGTTATCGTGGACGACCACCACCACTGTCTACCCGACATCCACCTGGTTCGTCATTCATCTGCAACTTACTCCCGCCTCCATTCTGATATCTAAGACACTAAATTGCTGCCTCAGGCCATCCGCCAGCGTCTCCTACCCTTCGCGGGTATCCACGTGCTGCACGTCGACGCACATCCGGACTTATCCTTCCCGACTTCGGCAGACACCAGCGTCATCTTCGAACCAGAGACGCTATATGATACGCTGGACAAGTCGGTTGCAGGAATTGCCGAGTTTCTATTGCCGCTGGTGTTTGCAGGACACGTGAACCAGATCACATGGCTCAAACCTTCTTGGGCGACGCAGGTGAGCTAGTTTTGCTGTCAATGTGGACGTGTGTGGACTTTTGAGTTATTGGCGTCTATTGTAGATGCCGACGGGGGCCTTTAAACAACTCGCAATTGGAAAGCGCAAGTCAAATGGTTGGTACAGCGTTTGAAAGAGATTTGATCCTTTAAAATGCACTCAATTGCTAGCTACTGTAGGCTCGGTGGGGGTGACGAGTGAGTTACCTCACTTCGTAGAAGATGAATTATCCTGTCCTGTGAAGGATTTGGAGGTGTCGTCCGTAAGGATGTGGGATTTATTTGCCACAGAGACGAGTTCGTCCGGTGTAACAACTGAGGCGATGACAGCCGCTCGACAGAACTCCAAGGCCTATATCCTCGACATTGATCTGGACTATTTCTCAACATGGAATCCATTCTGTAAAGGTATTGTCGTGGCTGTTAGTTATATCAAGGTTCCATTTGGCTTCTGAAGACAATTTTTTGTTTTGTTTCTGTAGACTTGGAGACGTATATTGGAAAAGCAGCGGTGAACACGGTGACTCAAGTTTTCTCCTCTGTACGATACAAGCGAGAAACTCTCGAACTCATGACAGCTGAGCAGCGGATATTGGAACGAAGGGCATTCTGTGAGCTTATTAAACGTTTCGAGGCAGCAGATGCGCTGGAGGACGCTTCTGCGCGCGACATGGAGTGGGCACAGGTCGTGAAACAGCTCAGACCCCTTTATACTGACGATGTGGATGTCGGGAAACTTCTCGACGACTTCATTAAAGTACTCGAGCAACACAGGGACGATAAGACTGCACGACGTGAGCTCTATAGTGTCGGTCCTTTTCTGGATTTGCCTCATCACGAAAGCTCAGAGGAAGAGATCGAGTCCATGGTCAACGATATGGAGCAACTCCTTCGGATACATTCGCTAGACATGAGCAATCCTCCAGCAATCGTGACAATCGCCAAGTCAACAGGGGACGAGTTTCTACCGCCACATCAGTTAGAAATCGTTCTATCGAGTGTGCTTCGGATGCTTAAAGGAGTGTTTGGTGAGCTGGCAATCAAGTATGTGGAGTACGAACCTGTGTAGCGCAGCGTCGTGTGTTTAAAGTCGTATTGACTGGTAATACTCGTCGCACCATGCGTACAACAGCAGCATCTCCAGTGTGCATTTATCTACTGCAGCTGCCGCATTGCTTGCCCCACAAGACGATGTCCACTGTGTCCTGTACACCGAGTTCTCTTGTCTCCACGCACACGCTCTGATCCGTTGACTCTTTCGACGATCTTGAGGGAAATCCTCATCTAGCTGAGCCAGTTCCAGACTCCAAAAATCGTCCAGCAGCGTCGTGTCATCTTGGCCGCCGAACAGGAATACACGCGGCACCTTACTGCCTGGCAGTGAGGAAACAAAGACGCTAGCAGCCCAGTACCGAGGCACAGGACGCTGTTCGTCAAGAGCGCTCTCATCCTCTCCAGATGTAGTAGCGACAGTTCTCCATCCGTCGATCAGATCTTCGAGACGCTTCAAACGAACGTCCAGTTGCGACTCGAAGCGAGAAGCTGCCATCGCCGTCCTGGACCCGAGAGACGCTCGTCGAGGAGACTTGAGTCCACGCCCGACAGCCATCAGCTCAAACGGAGTCAGCAACGTCGTCCGTCCTGCATGAACTCTCCTCTCAGCGATACTGGGGCTCTCTCTGTCGGTCAGAGACGCAAGTTGCGTCCATCGAGCAGTTGGCGCGACACCGAGCGCCACACTGGGGGTATAATCCAGTCGATACAAGTCGCTCAGTTCCGAGCCAGTACCTCCCGCTGTGCCTCCGAAGATGAACATACTGCTCCCGACTACGACAACCGAGTGCTGGAACCGCGCGGTCGGGGCCGTTCCCGTTGCTATGGGCGACAGATTCGTCCACGTGAAGGCAGGAACGCAAGGAGCAACGTCGAAAGTGACGTCCCACGAGTCCAGGTTCCCGACAAAGCCGTCCGCTGCAGTGTCAGTCAACTCAAGCGTCCAGTTCCCGGCAACAGGCAGCTGATGGAAGACCGAGAGCGCTTCGAGACTAGACGTCGACACGAACTGCAGTTTCTCCGTTCCTGGGGCGCATTCGCTCTTATCTGCAGCTTCGTCGGGACTACGTAGCAACACAGGGAACGCTCTGGCATTCGGCGCAGTGCCAGTCGCTCTCTTGTCTCCTTGTAGGCTCCTCAGTCCTTGACTATCGCTCCACGTCGTCTCTCGAGCTTGTGAATCAACAGGAAAGTGAGCACTCTGCTGTCGACCTGGAAACGTTGCAGGTCCGGGGCCAAACACCTGCAAGCCAAGTGTGTGCGGACACGCGTGTGTTATCTGCACACTCACAGACACGTTGACAACGCAGAGTTGCCCTCCACCAGCACTACCACTCTTCCTCCCAAGCGCAAAGACTTGTCCTCCATCCGGAATAGACAAAGCCGATGGCTGACGAGAATCCAGCGACACTGACGTCTGTTTCGCTGTACTGGAGGAGACCGACAGCTCCCACAAATCATTCAGGGCTCGAGGTCCCCACGTCGAGGCGTCATTTGCGTCCGACACGTCGTTCTGCCGTCCTCCGAATAGAATCAAGCGGTCATTCACCACTGCCATCGAGTGTTTCTCTCTTGGAGAAGGTACCAACGCTGGCGGAGGCACAGACCACCACGTCTCCGTGCGCAGATCATATCGCCAGAAATCGTTGGACACTGATCGTGGACTCGGCTGTAATAAACATGGCACTTTGTGTGCTCGGCTGCACTCGTAGCTCTTCGCCATTCCTCCAAAGAGGTAAAGAGAATTGTCCAGCAATGTGAGGGAATGTCCTCGTCTAGCAGACGGAAATCGCTGCAAGGGAGGAGTGTTGGTGACGCGCATTCCTGCTCTCGTGTTCTCCTCGTCTACAGTTCGAGTGACGCAACGTCTCCACGTATTCCTCGGCTTCGTAGGCATACGCAGCGTAACGACATCACTGAAAGTGCCACGTCCATCGAGCAGCAAAGCTTTCACTCGAAAGCGGTACGCAGCCGTCGGCGTAAGACCGTGGAGGGTGAGAGTACCGCTCTTCTCCGTGACATCAGTGGCCGGAAGAGTGACCAAACGTACAAGACGAAAGTCCTCATTGACGGAGCGATTGGCCATCTCGATCACGAATCCTTCCACGAGCTGGGAGAAGCCAAAACGAGGAGCTTTCCAGCTCACTTTGACGCTCGAGGATGTCAGTGGAGTCACTCGGAGCTTGTCTACGATCTCGTCACTCACTCGTGCTCGCAGACTAGCGTCACTAATCCCAGATTTGAACGAATTAAACAGGTCTCTAAAGGAGACGAAGCTGCTGCCTCCACCGCCTCCAGCTCCGTCAACACCTGCGCCTCCTCCTCCGCCACCGAAAAACCCTCCACCTCCGCCTCCACCCGCTTGTTTGCCACTCTGTCCACTCCCGCCACTTCCATTTCGACCATTCGAAGGCCAATGCGATGCTGTCAACGGAGACACGGCGACGTCCACCAGAGATGTCTGCGGGTTCAACAGACACGTGCCTTCAAGAGAATAGCGATAGGAACCTGCAGTCCCCGCCACACCTGCCGTTGTTGGCGTGGCGCCTGTGCCTCCAGTTGCTAGAACGGAGTAGTCTGCACTACTCGCAGCAAAGCCCCAGTCGAGGTGTCCATGTCTCGCTGGGAGTCCCTCGAAGTCTCTCGTGTCTCCCGGTACATTCGAGGAATGATATTCGTCTCTAGCTGCTTGTCCAGTCACACGTGAGTCGAGTGGGATCGTTGTTGCATCCGGTGCAAGACCAGACTCTGCTTCATCCAAGCCACCGCCGCCTCCTCCATGGGCACAACAGTAATCCGTCGAGCCCGCACCGCCACCTCCAGCAGCTACGACGGCTGTTCGTCCATTCACGCGCACTTCAGACGCGCCACCGCCCCCGCCGCCTGGGAAATCGCCTGTGCCGCCGTTTCCACCGCCGTTGAACCCACCCCGACCGTCTTGAAGGCCTCCACCGCCAACCAAAATGTCCACAGCATCACCGGCACTGACACGGAAAACTCCACGTGCAAAGGCGCCTCCTCCGCCGTTACTCAAGTCGCTTGAAGCTCCGTTTGACGACCTCGCACCAGCTCCCCCAGCGCCCCAGGCGTAGACATCAAGAGCAACAATTCGATGCGCAAGATGAGGAGCAGACTGGTCAATTGGAACTCGATAGGTCTGGACACTTCCCGTGTAGAAAAAAGAATGTTCCGCCGGTCTTTCGCCCGACCACGTGACTGGAAAGACAAGAACAGCTCCGTGCTCGCCAGGTTTGGCTTCATCGCCACTGGTAGAGCCGCCACTGCCGCCGTTCCCAGTCAACTGGACGTAATACCAGTCCTGTGTGTTAGCGCATTGCTGACGAGCTGCAGCAATCACCACTTGGCGTGTTCCAAGGGTTAAATCCTTGACGTTGTCGTGTCACTGTTGCCACTAAACCCCGGCGGTATACGCTCACTGATCGTAGTCCAGCCGATCTCACTGTCGCATTGTTGCTGAGCCTGGAAGCTGGTGACGGGGAAGAATTCCCTAGCGAAGATGCCCATTTTCCTGCGTGAGTTCTCGACGCATACGCCACGAGATCGTGACATGAGAAGTCGTTGCCGCTAGTAGCTCGGGGGTTGAAGGAGCTCGCGGTACTGGCGTCGCTGGGATCTCCAGTGGTTCACTACTTGCACTCCATGAACTCCAGCCAATAGCGTACGAATACTGCGCTCGAACACGGAAGCTGAAGGCTCGACCAGTCTGCAGTCCCGTGACTTGGTAGCTGCATTCATCCGAGCAAATACGTCCATGTCGACCAGGAGAACTCGGAGCCATGCGCAGATACTGAACAGCTACTTGGTCTCCGTCTCCAGTCCACTGAGCTGACACCGTCTCTGTATACAGCGACAGCAACGGCAGTGGATCTTCGCCGTCGTACGCCACGAGATCCAAGAGAATGATCGACTCGAACGCTCCATCAGCGTCCAGCGCATTCCTCTCCACCTGCACCTGTGTGACCTGCTCCAGAGACTCGATCGCTGTCTTCATGGCGTCTGCACTGGCGTCAAAAGCGATCGGAGGCGTCACCACACCAGCAGTAGCTCGTCCGCCCAGGATACTCGGACTGGAGCCTTCATACGACAAGCCAAGTCTGAAATACCCATCGTTGATGGACTCGCCATCGTCTGCACGAGTGAAAATACGCTGCTTGGGCACGTGTTCCGTGGCTTGAGCACCCAAGTCGACGCGAAATCCGGTCAGTGAATCCCCCAGCGACTGCCAGACGCCTGACCCAGACACTGCGTACTGAACTTCGTAGGCTTCGACACTAGCAGTACCGCCAGAGGCCTCGAGCGCATTGTCAAAGGCTGACCAGGAGACTAACGCATAGGCAGAGACTGGATTCCCAGGTGCCACACGCTGCAGCTCTGCGTAGACTTGTCGATCCACCTGGACTAAGGCCGCTGGGACATCAACGAACAGTGCCGACATAAACCAGATGCGTATCCAACGCATCGAGGAACTGAGCCGATACCAATCACCTTCACGCGACCCTTGCCGAAGATCGGACAACGGCCATACCCGATTGAACTCGTTCACGACGTCGAGGTCCTGCATGCGCGGGATGATAGAGAGCTCTTGGTCTTGTTATGGAGGTGACTTCCATGTGGCTTCGATAGGTTGCAGGTCTGCCGTACACATGAGCAAAGCCACCGATCCCGCCGATGCTGTGGAGCACTGTCGAGGCGAATGGGATGGCCGCATCAACGTGATCGAGCGTACGTCATAGTGAACCAGACTCCAGTCGAGCACGGGGACACGCGAAGTCAACATACGGAGCGACAAGGCTGTTGGCTAGTGGTAGGCAGGAGTCTTGACGTTGATGACGTAGATGCATGGAGTGAACACAGCACCGCGTACGAGAACTGGTTGAGCACAGCAGTACGTACAGCATTGATGGCTTGGACTCAGCAGATTTGGTGCACTGACAAGCATCGTCATAGCCCGAGAGCAGCCCAGACATGAAGACGGTAGTGGTTGAGCACGGCTGAGCTTGAGCTTGGTTAAACAGCACGCAGTTGCCTTGGAATGCAACTTGTCCACTATAATGTGTCTACGATGCAACTCGACTTTTGTTGTGTGCCAGTAGCTGGTGCCTCGATGCTTGAACTTCACTTGCACCTTGATGTCGCTTCATCCGCAGTTGCTGATGACACTTGAGCTCGACCATGAATCGCCCTCGACCAAGCTTACCAGGACAGTTGCTCGGCGTGCTTCGAGTTGCAGGTACCAGATGCCGTACCTTGAACAGCTTCAAGTTGTCAGCGTGGGTGACTCGAGCCTCGATAGGCCTTGGTCAACCCAGTGATGTCCAACGACGGTCGGTGTGACGGTCTGACAGGACAGTGTAGACACATGAATATGAATATCGTCTGGAATCTCGACAGCAATCAAGTAGTCGGACCCGGTGCCAGATGCCCGCCGGGACAAGCTGGGCTCGAGCTTCTTGTAGGCCTTGAACTTGTTGGAGCTGCGCACGACCTTCACGTGAGTGACTGGATGCATGCCACTCAATTGATAACAACTCACTGGATAGCCCATCCGCTGTTGAAGTGACAACAATCACGTTAGAAACGGTGTACAAAACAAGAGCGAGTGTGCAAATTGAGTGGCACTACAGTAGATAATAGGCACTCACTCACCCGATGGACAAAAACAGGAATGACTACCGAGGTGCCGCTGACGAATTGCTGCCAATGAACACTTGCCCGCTGGCAGCAATTCGATGCGCTTGTGGTCTCCGACGCAGATTCGCGAATGAAGCTGAAAAGCAAACAGCGGACGCGGCCAGCCAGTGGTTGGTGGCTGAGCTACTTGCGCAAGTAAACAGTCAGCCGGCATCCCATCCGCGGTTCGTGCGCTCGACACTGTCCATCGAGAGCTCGTGCTTGCCAAATTACTCACTGTGGCGGGATCACTCCGTCGCCTTATATTTATGAGGGTGTGTTTTTTCATACGTTATTGCAGTAAACAGGGAGCTATGAGGGTAGAATGATCGTGATATTGAGGGGAACGCAAATAAGAATTATCAGCATACACAGATTAGGTCCAGATGCAAAATACCCATCCGGGTTTGTATCTCCAAAAATTCTTTGCATCAGTGTACCAATTCGCTGGTACCAGCTTGCTCACCGCCAAATGTGGGTATCCTCTCCAAGTTGAAGCTTTCAATACTGGCCCCTATCAAACTTGCTGTAACGTTATGGTAAAGGAAGATTGAACAAGCATCTACACAGCAATCACTTCCAAGCAAGGCCATGTGCAATTTGATTCCTACGCAAAACCGCTCTCATTATAATAGATACACTCTATGTTGTTTATAATCCAATCGACTGGTAATACTCGTCGCACCATGCGTACAACAGCAGCATCTCCAGTGTGCATTTATCTACTGCAGCTGCCGTATTGCTTGCCCCACAAGACGATGTCCACTGTGTCCTGTACACCGAGTTCTCTTGTCTCCACGCACACGCTCTGATCCGTTGACTCTTTCGACGATCTTGAGGGAAATCCTCATCTAGCTGAGCCAGTTCCAGACTCCAAAAATCGTCCAGCAGCGTCGTGTCATCTTGGCCGCCGAACAGGAATACACGCGGCACCTTACTACCTGGCAGTGAGGAAACAAAGGCGCTAGCAGCCCAGTACCGAGGCACAGGACGCTGTTCGTCAAGAGCGCTCTCATCCTCTCCAGATGCAGTAGCGACAGCTCTCCATCCGTCGATCAGATCTTCGAGACGCTTCAAACGAACGTCCAGTTGCGACTCGAGGCGAGAAGCTGCCATCGCCGTCCTGGACCCGAGAGACGCTCGTCGAGGAGACTTGAGTCCACGCCCGACAGCCATCAACTCAAACGGAGTCAGCAACGTTGCCCGTCCTGCATGAACTCTCCTCTCAGCGATACTGGGGCTCTCTCTGTCGGTCAGAGACGCAAGTTGCGTCCATCGAGCAGTTGGCGCGACACCGAGCGCCACACTGCGGGTATAATCCAGTCGATACAAGTCGCTCAGCTCCGAGCCAGTACCTCCCGCTGTGCCTCCGAAGATGAACATACTGCTCCCGACTACGACAACCGAGTGCTGGAACCGCGCGGTCGGGGCCGTTCCCGTTGCTATGGACGACAGATTCGTCCACGTGAAGGCAGGAACGCAAGGAGCAACGTCGAAAGTGACGTCCCACGAGTCCAGGGTCCCGACAAAGCCGTCCGCTGCAGTGTCAGTCAACTCAAGCGTCCAGTTCCCGGCAACAGGCAGCTGATGGAAGACCGAGAGCGCTTCGAGACTAGACGTCGACACGAACTGCAGTTTCTCCGTTCTTGGGACGCATTCACTCTTATCTGCAGCTTCGTCGGGACTACGTAGCAACACAGGGAACGCTCTGGCATTCGGCGCAGTGCCAGTCGCTCTCTTGTCTCCTTGTAGGCTCCTCAGTCCTTGACTATCGCTCCACGTCGTCTCTCGAGCTTGTGAATCAACAGGAAAGTGAGCACTCTGCTGTCGACCTGGAAACGTTGCAGGTCCGGGGCCAAACACCTGCAAGCCAAGTGTGTGCGGACACGCGTGTGTTATCTGCACACTCACAGACACGTTGACAACGCAGAGTTGCTCTCCACCAGCACTACCACTCTTCCTCCCAAGCGCAAAGACTTGTCCTCCATCCGGAATAGACAAAGCCGATGGCTGACGAGAATCCAGCGACACTGACGTCTGTTTCGCTGTACTGGAGGAGACCGACAGCTCCCACAAATCATTCAGGGCTCGAGGTCCCCACGTCGAGGCGTCATTTGCGTCCGACACGTCGTTCTGCCGTCCTCCGAACAGAATCAAGCGGTCATTCACCACTGCCATCGAGTGTTTCTCTCTTGGAGAAGGTATCAACGCTGGCGGAGGCACAGACCACCACGTCTCCGTGCGCAGATCATATCGCCAGAAATCGTTGGACACTGATCGTGGACTCGGCTGTAATAAACACGGCACTTTGTGTGCTCGGCTGCACTCGTAGCTCTTCGCCATTCCTCCAAAGAGGTACAGAGAATTGTCCAGCAATGTGAGGGAATGTCCTCGTCTAGCAGACGGAAATCGCTGCAAGGGAGGAGTGTTGGTGACGCGCATTCCTGCTCTCGTGTTCTCCTCGTCTACAGTTCGAGTGACGCAACGTCTCCACGTATTCCTCGGCTTCGTAGGCATACGCAGCGTAACGACATCACTGAAAGTGCCACGTCCATCGAGCAGCAAAGCTTTCACTCGGAAACGGTACGCAGCCGTCGGCGTAAGACCGTGGAGGGTAAGAGTACCGCTCTTCTCCGTGACGTCAGTGGCCGGAAGAGTGACCAAACGTACAAGACGAAAGTCCTCATTGACGGAGCGATTGGCCATCTCGATCACGAATCCTTCCACGAGCTGGGAGAAGCCAAAACGAGGAGCTTTCCAGCTCACTTTGACGCTCGAGGATGTCAGTGGAGTCACTTGGAGCTTGTCTACGGTCTCGTCACTCACTCGTGCTCGCAGACTAGCGTCACTAATCCCAGATTTGGACGAATTAAACAGGTCTCTAAAGGAGACGAAGCTGCTGCCTCCACCGCCTCCAGCTCCGTCAACACCTGCGCCTCCTCCTCCGCCACCGAAAAACCCTCCACCTCCGCCTCCACCCGCTTGTTTGCCACTCTGTCCACTCCCGCCACTTCCATTTCGACCATTCGAAGGCCAATGCGATGCTGTCAACGGAGACACGGCGACGTCCACCAGAGATGTCTGCGGGTTCAACAGACACGTGCCTTCAAGAGAATAGCGATAGGAACCTGCAGTCCCCGCCACACCTGCCGTTGTTGGCGTGGCGCCTGTGCCTCCAGTTGCTAGAACGAAGTAGTCTGCACTACTCGCAGCAAAGCCCCAGTCGAGGTGTCCATGTCTCGCTGGGAGTCCCTCGAAGTCTCTCGTGTCTCCCGGTACATTCGAGGAATGATATTCGTCTCTAGCTGCTTGTCCAGTCACACGTGAGTCGAGTGGGATCGTTGTTGCATCCGGTGCAAGACCAGACTCTGCTTCATCCAAGCCACCGCCGCCTCCTCCATGGGCACAACAGTAATCCGTCGAGCCCGCACCGCCACCTCCAGCAGCTACGACGGCTGTTCGTCCATTCACGCGCACTTCAGACGCGCCACCGCCCCCGCCGCCTGGGAAATCGCCTGTGCCGCCGTTTCCACCGCCGTTAAACCCACCCCGACCATCTTGAAGGCCTCCACCGCCAACCAAAATGTCCACAGCATCACCGGCACTGACACGGAAAACTCCACGTGCAAAGGCGCCTCCTCCGCCGTTACTCAAGTCGCTTGAAGCTCCGTTTGACGACCTCGCACCAGCTCCCCCAGCGCCCCAGGCGTAGACATCAAGAGCAACAATTCGATGCGCAAGATGAGGAGCAGACTGGTCAATTGGAACTCGATAGGTCTGGACACTTCCCGTGTAGAAAAAAGAATGTTCCGCCGGTCTTTCGCCCGACCACGTGACTGGAAAGACAAGAACAGCTCCGTGCTCGCCAGGTTTGGCTTCATCGCCACTGGTAGAGCCGCCACTGCCGCCGTTCCCAGTCAACTGGACGTAGTACCAGTCCTGTGTGTTAGCGCATTGCTGACGAGCTGCAGCAATCACCACTTGGCGTGTTCCAAGGGTTAAATCCTTGACGTTGTCGCTGTTCGAGTCGTCTTCAACCGTGTAATCTGTCAGGAACTCTGCGGACTGGGAGAAGCTACCAGCTTGCCGTTCAGCCACCGCTCTGACGCGCGTGACGTACGTGGTGTATCCTTTCAGCGACGTCATTGAGATGTTGGCGAGTCGACTGCTGCAGTCCACCAGCTCAGCTGGCAATCGCGTCCACGTCGAGCCGAGAGTTGTGCGGTATTCCACATCGTAGGTTAGCTCTTCCAGTGCATGACCGCCCAGCACCTCAGGCGTGTTCCAGACCACAGTAAGCGGGTTTCGAGCTACCCGTAAGTTCGCCACAGCACCCGGAGCTGTTTGCAACGTTGTGAATTTGGCTGAAGGCAAACTGAAAGGTCCTTGGCCGTTGGCATTCGTCGCAGCAACTCGAAACTCGCAGGTGGAACCTGGCGGACGATCCAAGGACGCAACAACAGTTACAAAGGTGTCACTGTTGCCACTAAACCCCGGCGGTATACGCTCACTGATCGTAGTCCAGCCGATCTCACTGTCGCATTGTTGCTGAGCCTGGAAGCTGGTGACGGGGAAGAATTCCCTAGCAAAGATGCCATTTTCCTGCGTGAGTTCTCGACGCATACGCCACGAGATCGTGACATGAGAAGTCGTTGCCGCTAGTAGCTCGGGGGTTGAAGGAGCTCGCGGTACTGGTGTCGCTGGGATCTCCAGTGGTTCACTACGTGCACTCCATGAACTCCAGCCAATAGCGTACGAATACTGCGCTCGAACACGGAAGCTGAAGGCTCGACCAGTCTGCAGTCCCGTGACTTGGTAGCTGCATTCATCCGAGCAAATACGTCGATGTCGACCAGGAGAACTCGGAGCCATGCGCAGATACTGAACAGCTACTTGGTCTCCGTCTCCAGTCCACTGAGCTGACACTGTCTCTGTATACAGCGACAGCAACGGCAGCGGATCTTCGCCGTCGTACGCCACGAGATCAAAGAGAATGATCCACTCGAACGCTCCATCAGCGTCCAGCGCATTCCTCTCCACCTGCACCTGTGTGACCTGCTCCAGAGACTCGATCGCTGTCTTCATGGCGTCTGCACTGGCGTCAAAAGCGATCGGAGGCGTCACCACACCAGCAGTAGCTCGTCCGCCCAGGATACTCGGACTGGAGCCTTCATACGACAAGCCAAGTCTGAAATACCCATCGTTGATGGACTCGCCATCGTCTGCACGAGTGAAAATACGCTGCTTGGGCACGTGTTCCGTGGCTTGAGCACCCAAGTCGACGCGAAATCCGGTCAGTGAATCCCCCAGCGACTGCCAGACGCCTGACCCAGACACTGCGTACTGAACTTCGTAGGCTTCGACACTAGCAGTACCGCCAGAGGCCTCGAGCGCATTGTCAAAGGCTGACCAGGAGACTAACGCATAGGCAGAGACTGGATTCCCAGGTGCCACACGCTGCAGCTCTGCGTAGACTTGTCGATCCACCTGGACTAAGGCCGCTGGGACATCAACGAACAGTGCCGACACCAACCAGATGCGTATCCAACGCATCGAGGAACTGAGCCGATACCAATCACCTTCACGCGACCCTTGCCGAAGATCGGACAACGGCCATACCCGATTGAACTCGTTCACGACGTCGAGGTCCTGCATGCGCGGGATGATAGAGAGCTCTTGGTCTTGTTATGGAGGTGACTTCCATGTGGCTTCGATAGGTTGCAGGTCTGCCGTACACATGAGCAAAGCCACCGATCCCGCCGATGCTGTGGAGCACTGTCGAGGCGAATGGGATGGCCGCATCAACGTGATCGAGCGTACGTCATAGTGAACCAGACTCCAGTCGAGCACGGGGACACGCGAAGTCAACATACGGAGCGACAAGGCTGTTGGCTAGTGGTAGGCAGGACTCTTGACGTTGATGACGTAGATGCATGGAGTGAACACAGCACCGCGTACGAGAACTGGTTGAGCACAGCAGTACGTACAGCATTGATGGCTTGGACTCAGCAGATTTGGTGCACTGACAAGCATCGTCATAGCCCGAGAGCAGCCCATACATGAAGACGGTAGTGGTTGAGCACGGCTGAGCTTGAGCTTGGTTAAACAGCACGCAGTTGCCTTGGAATGCAACTTGTCCACTATAATGTGTCTACGATGCAACTCGACTTTTGTTGTGTGCCAGTAGCTGGTGCCTCGATGCTTGAACTTCACTTGCACCTTGATGTCGCTTCATCCGCAGTTGCTGATGACACTTGAGCTCGACCATGAATCGCCCTCGACCAAGCTTACCAGGACAGTTGCTCGGCGTGCTTCGAGTTGCAGGTACCAGATGCCGTACCTTGAACAGCTTCAAGTTGTCAGCGTGGGTGACTCGAGCCTCGATAGGCCTTGGTCAACCCAATGATGTCCAACGACGGTCGGTGTGACGGTCTGACAGGACAGTGTAGACACATGAATATGAATATCGTCTGGAGTCTCGACAGCAATCAAGTAGTCGGACCCGGTGCCAGATGCCCGCCGGAAAAAGCTGGGCTCGAGCTTCTTGTAGGCCTTGAACTTGTTGGAGCTGCGCACGACCTTCACGTGAGTGACTGGATGCATGCCACTCAATTGATAACAACTCACTGGATAGCCCATCCGCTGTTGAAGTGACAACAATCACGTTAGAAACGGTGTACAAAACAAGAGCGAGTGTGCAAATTGAGTGGCACTACAGTAGATAATAGGCACTCACTCACCCGATGGACAAAAACAGGAATGACTACCGAGGTGCCGCTGACGAATTGCTGCCAATGAACACTTGCCCGCTGGCAGCAATTCGATGCGCTTGTGGTCTCCGACGCAGATTCGCGAATGAAGCTGAAAAGCAAACAGCGGACGCGGCCAGCCAGTGGTTGGTGGCTGAGCTACTTGCGCAAGTAAACAGTCAGCCGGCATCCCATCCGCGGTTCGTGCGCTCGACACTGTCCATCGAGAGCTCGTGCTTGCCAAATTACTCACTGTGGCGGGATCACTCCGTCGCCTTATATTTATGAGGGTGTGTTTTTTCATACGTTATTGCAGTAAACAGGGAGCTATGAGGTAGAATGATCGTGATATTGAGGGGAACGCAAATAAGAATTATCAGCATACACAGATTAGGTCCAGAGGCAAAATACCCATCCGGGTTTGTATCTCCAAAAATTCTTTGCATCAGTGTACCAATTCGCTGGTACCAGCTTGCTCACCGCCAAATGTGGGTATCCTCTCCAAGTTGAAGCTTTCAATACTGGCCCCTATCAAACTTGCTGTAACGTTATGGTAAAGGAAGATTGAACAAGCATCTACACAGCAATCACTTCCAAGCAAGGCCATGTGCAATTTGATTCCTACGCAAAACCGCTCTCATTATAATAGATACACTCTATGTTGTTTATAATCCAATCGACTGGTAATACTCGTCGCACCATGCGTACAACAGCAGCATCTCCAGTGTGCATTTATCTACTGCAGCTGCCGTATTGCTTGCCCCACAAGACGATGTCCACTGTGTCCTGTACACCGAGTTCTCTTGTCTCCACGCACACGCTCTGATCCGTTGACTCTTTCGACGATCTTGAGGGAAATCCTCATCTAGCTGAGCCAGTTCCAGACTCCAAAAATCGTCCAGCAGCGTCGTGTCATCTTGGCCGCCGAACAGGAATACACGCGGCACCTTACTGCCTGGCAGTGAGGAAACAAAGGCGCTAGCAGCCCAGTACCGAGGCACAGGACGCTGTTCGTCAAGAGCGCTCTCATCCTCTCCAGATGCAGTAGCGACAGTTCTCCATCCGTCGATCAGATCTTCGAGACGCTTCAAACGAACGTCCAGTCGCGACTCGAAGCGAGAAGCTGCCATCGCCGTCCTGGACCCGAGAGACGCTCGTCGAGGAGACTTGAGTCCACGCCCGACAGCCATCAACTCAAACGGAGTCAGCAACGTTGCCCGTCCTGCATGAACTCTCCTCTCAGCGATACTGGGGCTCTCTCTGTCGGTCAGAGACGCAAGTTGCGTCCATCGAGCAGTTGGCGCGACACCGAGCGCCACACTGCGGGTATAATCCAGTCGATACAAGTCGCTCAGTTCCGAGCCAGTACCTCCCGCTGTGCCTCCGAAGATGAACATACTGCTCCCGACTACGACAACCGAGTGCTGGAACCGCGCGGTCGGGGCCGTTCCCGTTGCTATGGACGACAGATTCGTCCACGTGAAGGCAGGAACGCAAGGCGCAACGTCGAAAGTGACGTCCCACGAGTCCAGGGTCCCGACAAAGCCGTCCGCTGCAGTGTCAGTCAACTCAAGCGTCCAGTTCCCGGCAACAGGCAGCTGATGGAAGACCGAGAGCGCTTCGAGACTAGACGTCGACACGAACTGCAGTTTCTCCGTTCCTGGGGCGCATTCACTCTTATCTGCAGCTTCGTCGGGACTACGTAGCAACACAGGGAACGCTCTGGCATTCGGCGCAGTGCCAGTCGCTCTCTTGTCTCCTTGTAGGCTCCTCAGTCCTTGACTATCGCTCCACGTCGTCTCTCGAGCTTGTGAATCAACAGGAAAGTGAGCACTCTGCTGTCGACCTGGAAACGTTGCAGGTCCGGGGCCAAACACCTGCAAGCCAAGTGTGTGCGGACACGCGTGTGTTATCTGCACACTCACAGACACGTTGACAACGCAGAGTTGCTCTCCACCAGCACTACCACTCTTCCTCCCAAGCGCAAAGACTTGTCCTCCATCCGGAATAGACAAAGCCGATGGCTGACGAGAATCCAGCGACACTGACGTCTGTTTCGCTGTACTGGAGGAGACCGACAGCTCCCACAAATCATTCAGGGCTCGAGGTCCCCACGTCGAGGCGTCATTTGCGTCCGACACGTCGTTCTGCCGTCCTCCGAACAGAATCAAGCGGTCATTCACCACTGCCATCGAGTGTTTCTCTCTTGGAGAAGGTATCAACGCTGGCGGAGGCACAGACCACCACGTCTCCGTGCGCAGATCATATCGCCAGAAATCGTTGGACACTGATCGTGGACTCGGCTGTAATAAACACGGCACTTTGTGTGCTCGGCTGCACTCGTAGCTCTTCGCCATTCCTCCAAAGAGGTACAGAGAATTGTCCAGCAATGTGAGGGAATGTCCTCGTCTAGCAGACGGAAATCGCTGCAAGGGAGGAGTGTTGGTGACGCGCATTCCTGCTCTCGTGTTCTCCTCGTCTACAGTTCGAGTGACGCAACGTCTCCACGTATTCCTCGGCTTCGTAGGCATACGCAGCGTAACGACATCACTGAAAGTGCCACGTCCATCGAGCAGCAAAGCTTTCACTCGGAAACGGTACGCAGCCGTCGGCATAAGACCGTGGAGGGTAAGAGTACCGCTCTTCTCCGTGACATCAGTGGCCGGAAGAGTGACCAAACGTACAAGACGAAAGTCCTCATTGACGGAGCGATTGGCCATCTCGATCACGAATCCTTCCACGAGCTGGGAGAAGCCAAAACGAGGAGCTTTCCAGCTCACTTTGACGCTCGAGGATGTCAGTGGAGTCACTCGGAGCTTGTCTACGGTCTCGTCACTCACTCGTGCTCGCAGACTAGCGTCACTAATCCCAGATTTGAACGAATTAAACAGGTCTCTAAAGGAGACGAAGCTGCTGCCTCCACCGCCTCCAGCTCCGTCAACACCTGCGCCTCCTCCTCCGCCACCGAAAAACCCTCCACCTCCGCCTCCACCCGCTTGTTTGCCACTCTGTCCACTCCCGCCACTTCCATTTCGACCATTCGAAGGCCAATGCGATGCTGTCAACGGAGACACGGCGACGTCCACCAGAGATGTCTGCGGGTTCAACAGACACGTGCCTTCAAGAGAATAGCGATAGGAACCTGCAGCCCCCGCCACACCTGCCGTTGTTGGCGTGGCGCCTGTGCCTCCAGTTGCTAGAACGGAGTAGTCTGCACTACTCGCAGCAAAGCCCCAGTCGAGGTGTCCATGTCTCGCTGAGAGTCCCTCGAAGTCTCTCGTGTCTCCCGGTACATTCGAGGAATGATATTCGTCTCTAGCTGCTTGTCCAGTCACACGTGAGTCGAGTGGGATCGTTGTCGCATCCGGTGCAAGACCAGACTCTGCTTCATCCAAGCCACCGCCGCCTCCTCCATGGGCACAACAGTAATCCGTCGAGCCCGCACCGCCACCTCCAGCAGCTACGACGGCTGTTCGTCCATTCACGCGCACTTCAGACGCGCCACCGCCCCCGCCGCCTGGGAAATCGCCTGTGCCGCCGTTTCCACCGCCGTTGAACCCACCCCGACCGTCTTGAAGGCCTCCACCGCCAACCAAAATGTCCACAGCATCACCGGCACTGACACGGAAAACTCCACGTGCAAAGGCGCCTCCTCCGCCGTTACTCAAGTCGCTTGAAGCTCCGTTTGACGACCTCGCACCAGCTCCCCCAGCGCCCCAGGCGTAGACATCAAGAGCAACAATTCGATGCGCAAGATGAGGAGCAGACTGGTCAATTGGAACTCGATAGGTCTGGACACTTCCCGTGTAGAAGAAGGAATGTTCCGCCAGTCTTTCGCCCGACCACGTGACTGGAAAGACAAGAACAGCTCCGTGCTCGCCAGGTTTGGCTTCATCGCCACTGGTAGAGCCGCCACTGCCGCCGTTCCCAGTCAACTGGACGTAGTACCAGTCCTGTGTGTTAGCGCATTGCTGACGAGCTGCAGCGATCACCACTTGGCGTGTTCCAAGGGTTAAATCCTTGACGTTGTCGCTGTTCGAGTCGTCTTCAACCGTGTAATCTGTCAGGAACTCTGCGGACTGGGAGAAGCTACCAGCTTGCCGTTCAGCCACCGCTCTGACGCGCGTGACGTACGTGGTGTATCCTTTCAGCGACGTCATTGAGATGTTGGCGAGTCGACTGCTGCAGTCCACCAGCTCAGCTGGCAATCGCGTCCACGTCGAGCCGAGAGTTGTGCGGTATTCCACATCGTAGGTTAGCTCTTCCAGTGCATGACCGCCCAGCACCTCAGGTGTGTTCCAGACCACAGTAAGCGGGTCTCGAGCTACCCGTAAGTTCGCCACAGCACCCGGAGCTGTTTGCAACGTTGTGAATTTGGCTGAAGGCAAACTGAAAGGTCCTTGGCCGTTGGCATTCGTCGCAGCAACTCGAAACTCGCAGGTGGAACCTGGCGGACGCTCCAAGGACGCAACAACAGTTACAAAGGTGTCACTGTTGCCACTAAACCCCGGCGGTATACGCTCACTGATCGTAGTCCAGCCGATCTCACTGTCGCATTGTTGCTGAGCCTGGAAGCTGGTGACGGGGAAGAATTCCCTAGCGAAGATGCCATTTTCCTGCGTGAGTTCTCGACGCATACGCCACGAGATCGTGACATGAGAAGTCGTTGCCGCTAGTAGCTCGGGGGTTGAAGGAGCTCGCGGTACTGGCGTCGCTGGGATCTCCAGTGGTTCACTACTTGCACTCCATGAACTCCAGCCAATAGCGTACGAATACTGCGCTCGAACACGGAAGCTGAAGGCTCGACCAGTCTGCAGTCCCGTGACTTGGTAGCTGCATTCATCCGAGCAAATACGTCCATGTCGATCAGGAGAACTCGGAGCCATGCGCAGATACTGAACAGCTACTTGGTCTCCGTCTCCAGTCCACTGAGCTGACACTGTCTCTGTATACAGCGACAGCAACGGCAGCGGATCTTCGCCGTCGTACGCCACAAGATCAAAGAGAATGATCCAGTCGAACGCTCCATCAGCGTCCAGCGCATTCCTCTCCACCTGCACCTGTGTGACCTGCTCCAGAGACTCGATCGCTGTCTTCATGGCGTCTGCACTGGCGTCGAAAGCGATCGGAGGCGTCACCACACCAGCAGTAGCTCGTCCGCCCAGGATACTCGGACTGGAGCCTTCATACGACAAACCAAGTCGGAAATACCCATCGTTGATGGACTCGCCATCGTCTGCACGAGTGAAAATACGCTGCTTGGGCACGTGTTCCGTGGCTTGAGCACCCAAGTCGACGCGAAATCCGGTCAGTGAATCCCCCAGCGACTGCCAGACGCCTGACCCAGACACTGCGTACTGAACTTCGTAGGCTTCGACACTAGCAGTACCGCCAGAGGCCTCGAGCGCATTGTCAAAGGCTGACCAGGAGACTAACGCATAGGCAGAGACTGGATTCCCAGGTGCCACACGCTGCAGCTCTGCGTAGACTTGTCGATCCACCTGGACTAAGGCCGCTGGGACATCAACGAACAGTGCCGACACCAACCAGATGCGTATCCAACGCATCGAGGAACTGAGCCGATACCAATCACCTTCACGCGACCCTTGCCGAAGATCGGACAACGGCCATACCCGATTGAACTCGTTCACGACGTCGAGGTCCTGCATGCGCGGGATGATAGAGAGCTCTTGGTCTTGTTATGGAGGTGACTTCCATGTGGCTTCGATAGGTTGCAGGTCTGCCGTACACATGAGCAAAGCCACCGATCCCGCCGATGCTGTGGAGCACTGTCGAGGCGAATGGGATGGCCGCATCAACGTGATCGAGCGTACGTCATAGTGAACCAGACTCCAGTCGAGCACGGGGACACGCGAAGTCAACATACGGAGCGACAAGGCTGTTGGCTAGTGGTAGGCAGGAGTCTTGACGTTGATGACGTAGATGCATGGAGTGAACACAGCACCGCGTACGAGAACTGGTTGAGCACAGCAGTACGTACAGCATTGATGGCTTGGACTCAGCAGATTTGGTGCACTGACAAGCATCGTCATAGCCCGAGAGCAGCCCAGACATGAAGACGGTAGTGGTTGAGCACGGCTGAGCTTGAGCTTGGTTAAACAGCACGCAGTTGCCTTGGAATGCAACTTGTCCACTATAATGTGTCTACGATGCAACTCGACTTTTGTTGTGTGCCAGTAGCTGGTGCCTCGATGCTTGAACTTCACTTGCACCTTGATGTCGCTTCATCCGCAGTTGCTGATGACACTTGAGCTCGACCATGAATCGCCCTCGACCAAGCTTACCAGGACAGTTGCTCGGCGTGCTTCGAGTTGCAGGTACCAGATGCCGTACCTTGAACAGCTTCAAGTTGTCAGCGTGGGTGACTCGAGCCTCGATAGGCCTTGGTCAACCCAATGATGTCCAACGACGGTCGGTGTGACGGTCTGACAGGACAGTGTAGACACATGAATATGAATATCGTCTGGAATCTCGACAGCAATCAAGTAGTCGGACCCGGTGCCAGATGCCCGCCGGGACAAGCTGGGCTCGAGCTTCTTGTAGGCCTTGAACTTGTTGGAGCTGCGCACGACCTTCACGTGAGTGACTGGATGCATGCCACTCAATTGATAACAACTCACTGGATAGCCCATCCGCTGTTGAAGTGACAACAATCACGTTAGAAACGGTGTACAAAACAAGAGCGAGTGTGCAAATTGAGTGGCACTACAGTAGATAATAGGCACTCACTCACCCGATGGACAAAAACAGGAATGACTACCGAGGTGCCGCTGACGAATTGCTGCCAATGAACACTTGCCCGCTGGCAGCAATTCGATGCGCTTGTGGTCTCCGACGCAGATTCGCGAATGAAGCTGAAAAGCAAACAGCGGACGCGGCCAGCCAGTGGTTGGTGGCTGAGCTACTTGCGCAAGTAAACAGTCAGCCGGCATCCCATCCGCGGTTCGTGCGCTCGACACTGTCCATCGAGAGCTCGTGCTTGCCAAATTACTCACTGTGGCGGGATCACTCCGTCGCCTTATATTTATGAGGGTGTGTTTTTTCATACGTTATTGCAGTAAACAGGGAGCTATGAGGGTAGAATGATCGTGATATTGAGGGGAACGCAAATAAGAATTATCAGCATACACAGATTAGGTCCAGATGCAAAATACCCATCCGGGTTTGTATCTCCAAAAATTCTTTGCATCAGTGTACCAATTCGCTGGTACCAGCTTGCTCACCGCCAAATGTGGGTATCCTCTCCAAGTTGAAGCTTTCAATACTGGCCCCTATCAAACTTGCTGTAACGTTATGGTAAAGGAAGATTGAACAAGCATCTACACAGCAATCACTTCCAAGCAAGGCCATGTGCAATTTGATTCCTACGCAAAACCGCTCTCATTATAATAGATACACTCTATGTTGTTTATAATCCAATCGACTGGTAATACTCGTCGCACCATGCGTACAACAGCAGCATCTCCAGTGTGCATTTATCTACTGCAGCTGCCGTATTGCTTGCCCCACAAGACGATGTCCACTGTGTCCTGTACGCCGAGTTCTCTTGTCTCCACGCACATGCTCTGATCCGTTGACTCTTTCGACGATCTTGAGGGAAATCCTCATCTAGCTGAGCCAGTTCCAGACTCCAGAGATCGTCCAGCAGCGTCGTGTCATCTTGGCCGCCGAACAGGAATACACGCGGCACCTTACTACCTGGCAGTGAGGAAACAAAGGCGCTAGCAGCCCAGTACCGAGGCACAGGACGCTGTTCGTCAAGAGCGCTCTCATCCTCTCCAGATGCAGTAGCGACAGCTCTCCATCCGTCGATCAGATCTTCGAGACGCTTCAAACGAACGTCCAGTTGCGACTCGAGGCGAGAAGCTGCCATCGCCGTCCTGGACCCGAGAGACGCTCGTCGAGGAGACTTGAGTCCACGCCCGACAGCCATCAACTCAAACGGAGTCAGCAACGTTGCCCGTCCTGCATGAACTCTCCTCTCAGCGATACTGGGGCTCTCTCTGTCGGTCAGAGACGCAAGTTGCGTCCATCGAGCAGTTGGCGCGACACCGAGCGCCACACTGCGGGTATAATCCAGTCGATACAAGTCGCTCAGCTCCGAGCCAGTACCTCCCGCTGTGCCTCCGAAGATGAACATACTGCTCCCGACTACGACAACCGAGTGCTGGAACCGCGCGGTCGGGGCCGTTCCCGTTGCTATGGACGACAGATTCGTCCACGTGAAGGCAGGAACGCAAGGAGCAACGTCGAAAGTGACGTCCCACGAGTCCAGGGTCCCGACAAAGCCGTCCGCTGCAGTGTCAGTCAACTCAAGCGTCCAGTTCCCGGCAACAGGCAGCTGATGGAAGACCGAGAGCGCTTCGAGACTAGACGTCGACACGAACTGCAGTTTCTCCGTTCTTGGGACGCATTCACTCTTATCTGCAGCTTCGTCGGGACTACGTAGCAACACAGGGAACGCTCTGGCATTCGGCGCAGTGCCAGTCGCTCTCTTGTCTCCTTGTAGGCTCCTCAGTCCTTGACTATCGCTCCACGTCGTCTCTCGAGCTTGTGAATCAACAGGAAAGTGAGCACTCTGCTGTCGACCTGGAAACGTTGCAGGTCCGGGGCCAAACACCTGCAAGCCAAGTGTGTGCGGACACGCGTGTGTTATCTGCACACTCACAGACACGTTGACAACGCAGAGTTGCTCTCCACCAGCACTACCACTCTTCCTCCCAAGCGCAAAGACTTGTCCTCCATCCGGAATAGACAAAGCCGATGGCTGACGAGAATCCAGCGACACTGACGTCTGTTTCGCTGTACTGGAGGAGACCGACAGCTCCCACAAATCATTCAGGGCTCGAGGTCCCCACGTCGAGGCGTCATTTGCGTCCGACACGTCGTTCTGCCGTCCTCCGAACAGAATCAAGCGGTCATTCACCACTGCCATCGAGTGTTTCTCTCTTGGAGAAGGTATCAACGCTGGCGGAGGCACAGACCACCACGTCTCCGTGCGCAGATCATATCGCCAGAAATCGTTGGACACTGATCGTGGACTCGGCTGTAATAAACACGGCACTTTGTGTGCTCGGCTGCACTCGTAGCTCTTCGCCATTCCTCCAAAGAGGTACAGAGAATTGTCCAGCAATGTGAGGGAATGTCCTCGTCTAGCAGACGGAAATCGCTGCAAGGGAGGAGTGTTGGTGACGCGCATTCCTGCTCTCGTGTTCTCCTCGTCTACAGTTCGAGTGACGCAACGTCTCCACGTATTCCTCGGCTTCGTAGGCATACGCAGCGTAACGACATCACTGAAAGTGCCACGTCCATCGAACAGCAAAGCTTTCACTCGGAAACGGTACGCAGCCGTCGGCGTAAGACCGTGGAGGGTAAGAGTACCGCTCTTCTCCGTGACGTCAGTGGCCGGAAGAGTGACCAAACGTACAAGACGAAAGTCCTCATTGACGGAGCGATTGGCCATCTCGATCACGAATCCTTCCACGAGCTGGGAGAAGCCAAAACGAGGAGCTTTCCAGCTCACTTTGACGCTCGAGGATGTCAGTGGAGTCACTCGGAGCTTGTCTACGATCTCGTCACTCACTCGTGCTCGCAGACTAGCGTCACTAATCCCAGATTTGAACGAATTAAACAGGTCTCTAAAGGAGACGAAGCTGCTGCCTCCACCGCCTCCAGCTCCGTCAACACCTGCGCCTCCTCCTCCGCCACCGAAAAACCCTCCACCTCCGCCTCCACCCGCTTGTTTGCCACTCTGTCCACTCCCGCCACTTCCATTTCGACCATTCGAAGGCCAATGCGATGCTGTCAACGGAGACACGGCGACGTCCACCAGAGATGTCTGCGGGTTCAACAGACACGTGCCTTCAAGAGAATAGCGATAGGAACCTGCAGTCCCCGCCACACCTGCCGTTGTTGGCGTGGCGCCTGTGCCTCCAGTTGCTAGAACGGAGTAGTCTGCACTACTCGCAGCAAAGCCCCAGTCGAGGTGTCCATGTCTCGCTGGGAGTCCCTCGAAGTCTCTCGTGTCTCCCGGTACATTCGAGGAATGATATTCGTCTCTAGCTGCTTGTCCAGTCACACGTGAGTCGAGTGGGATCGCTGCACCGGATGTTGCATCCGGTGCAAGACCAGACTCTGCTTCATCCAAGCCACCGCCGCCTCCTCCATGGGCACAACAGTAATCCGTCGAGCCCGCACCGCCACCTCCAGCAGCTACGACGGCTGTTCGTCCATTCACGCGCACTTCAGACGCGCCACCGCCCCCGCCGCCTGGGAAATCGCCTGTGCCGCCGTTTCCACCGCCGTTGAACCCACCCCGACCGTCTTGAAGGCCTCCACCGCCAACCAAAATGTCCACAGCATCACCGGCACTGACACGGAAAACTCCACGTGCAAAGGCGCCTCCTCCGCCGTTACTCAAGTCGCTTGAAGCTCCGTTTGACGACCTCGCACCAGCTCCCCCAGCGCCCCAGGCGTAGACATCAAGAGCAACAATTCGATGCGCAAGATGAGGAGCAGACTGGTCAATTGGAACTCGATAGGTCTGGACACTTCCCGTGTAGAAAAAAGAATGTTCCGCCGGTCTTTCGCCCGACCACGTGACTGGAAAGACAAGAACAGCTCCGTGCTCGCCAGGTTTGGCTTCATCGCCACTGGTAGAGCCGCCACTGCCGCCGTTCCCAGTCAACTGGACGTAGTACCAGTCCTGTGTGTTAGCGCATTGCTGACGAGCTGCAGCAATCACCACTTGGCGTGTTCCAAGGGTTAAATCCTTGACGTTGTCGCTGTTCGAGTCGTCTTCAACCGTGTAATCTGCCAGGAACTCTGCGGACTGGGAGAAGCTACCAGCTTGCCGTTCAGCTACCGCTCTGACGCGCGTGACGTACGTGGTGTATCCTTTCAGCGACGTCATTGAGATGTTGGCGAGTCGACTGCTGCAGTCCACCAGCTCAGCTGGCAATCGCGTCCACGTCGAGCCAAGAGTTGTGCGGTATTCCACATCGTAGGTTAGCTCTTCCGGTGCATGACCGCCCAGCACCTCAGGTGTGTTCCAGACCACAGTAAGCGGGTCTCGAGCTACCCGTAAGTTCGCCACAGCACCCGGAGCTGTTTGCAACGTTGTGAATTTGGCTGAAGGCAAACTGAAAGGTCCTTGGCCGTTGGCATTCGTCGCAGCAACTCGAAACTCGCAGGTGGAACCTGGCGGACGATCCAAGGACGCAACAACAGTTACAAAGGTGTCACTGTTGCCACTAAACCCCGGCGGTATACGCTCACTGATCGTAGTCCAGCCGATCTCACTGTCGCATTGTTGCTGAGCCTGGAAGCTGGTGACGGGGAAGAATTCCCTAGCGAAGATGCCATTTTCCTGCGTGAGTTCTCGACGCATACGCCACGAGATCGTGACATGAGAAGTCGTTGCCGCTAGTAGCTCGGGGGTTGAAGGAGCTCGCGGTACTGGCGTCGCTGGGATCTCCAGTGGTTCACTACTTGCACTCCATGAACTCCAGCCAATAGCGTACGAATACTGCGCTCGAACACGGAAGCTGAAGGCTCGACCAGTCTGCAGTCCCGTGACTTGGTAGCTGCATTCATCCGAGCAAATACGTCGATGTCGACCAGGAGAACTCGGAGCCATGCGCAGATACTGAACAGCTACTTGGTCTCCGTCTCCAGTCCACTGAGCTGACACCGTCTCTGTATACAGCGACAGCAACGGCAGCGGATCTTCGCCGTCGTACGCCACGAGATCAAAGAGAATGATCCACTCGAACGCTCCATCAGCGTCCAGCGCATTCCTCTCCACCTGCACCTGTGTGACCTGCTCCAGAGACTCGATCGCTGTCTTCATGGCGTCTGCACTGGCGTCGAAAGCGATCGGAGGCGTCACCACACCAGCAGTAGCTCGTCCGCCCAGGATACTCGGACTGGAGCCTTCATACGACAAGCCAAGTCTGAAATACCCATCGTTGATGGACTCGCCATCGTCTGCACGAGTGAAAATACGCTGCTTGGGCACGTGTTCCGTGGCTTGAGCACCCAAGTCGACGCGAAATCCGGTCAGTGAATCCCCCAGCGACTGCCAGACGCCTGACCCAGACACTGCGTACTGAACTTCGTAGGCTTCGACACTAGCAGTACCGCCAGAGGCCTCGAGCGCATTGTCAAAGGCTGACCAGGAGACTAACGCATAGGCAGAGACTGGATTCCCAGGTGCCACACGCTGCAGCTCTGCGTAGACTTGTCGATCCACCTGGACTAAGGCCGCTGGGACATCAACGAACAGTGCCGACACCAACCAGATGCGTATCCAACGCATCGAGGAACTGAGCCGATACCAATCACCTTCACGCGACCCTTGCCGAAGATCGGACAACGGCCATACCCGATTGAACTCGTTCACGACGTCGAGGTCCTGCATGCGCGGGATGATAGAGAGCTCTTGGTCTTGTTATGGAGGTGACTTCCATGTGGCTTCGATAGGTTGCAGGTCTGCCGTACACATGAGCAAAGCCACCGATCCCGCCGATGCTGTGGAGCACTGTCGAGGCGAATGGGATGGCCGCATCAACGTGATCGAGCGTACGTCATAGTGAACCAGACTCCAGTCGAGCACGGGGACACGCGAAGTCAACATACGGAGCGACAAGGCTGTTGGCTAGTGGTAGGCAGGACTCTTGACGTTGATGACGTAGATGCATGGAGTGAACACAGCACCGCGTACGAGAACTGGTTGAGCACAGCAGTACGTACAGCATTGATGGCTTGGACTCAGCAGATTTGGTGCACTGACAAGCATCGTCATAGCCCGAGAGCAGCCCAGACATGAAGACGGTAGTGGTTGAGCACGGCTGAGCTTGAGCTTGGTTAAACAGCACGCAGTTGCCTTGGAATGCAACTTGTCCACTATAATGTGTCTACGATGCAACTCGACTTTTGTTGTGTGCCAGTAGCTGGTGCCTCGATGCTTGAACTTCACTTGCACCTTGATGTCGCTTCATCCGCAGTTGCTGATGACACTTGAGCTCGACCATGAATCGCCCTCGACCAAGCTTACCAGGACAGTTGCTCGGCGTGCTTCGAGTTGCAGGTACCAGATGCCGTACCTTGAACAGCTTCAAGTTGTCAGCGTGGGTGACTCGAGCCTCGATAGGCCTTGGTCAACCCAATGATGTCCAACGACGGTCGGTGTGACGGTCTGACAGGACAGTGTAGACACATGAATATGAATATCGTCTGGAGTCTCGACAGCAATCAAGTAGTCGGACCCGGTGCCAGATGCCCGCCGGAAAAAGCTGGGCTCGAGCTTCTTGTAGGCCTTGAACTTGTTGGAGCTGCGCACGACCTTCACGTGAGTGACTGGATGCATGCCACTCAATTGATAACAACTCACTGGATAGCCCATCCGCTGTTGAAGTGACAACAATCACGTTAGAAACGGTGTACAAAGTGTGCAAATTGAGTGGCACTACAGTAGATAATAGGCACTCACTCACCCGATGGACAAAAACAGGAATGACTACCGAGGTGCCGCTGACGAATTGCTGCCAATGAACACTTGCCCGCTGGCAGCAATTCGATGCGCTTGTGGTCTCCGACGCAGATTCGCGAATGAAGCTGAAAAGCAAACAGCGGACGCGGCCAGCCAGTGGTTGGTGGCTGAGCTACTTGCGCAAGTAAACAGTCAGCCGGCATCCCATCCGCGGTTCGTGCGCTCGACACTGTCCATCGAGAGCTCGTGCTTGCCAAATTACTCACTGTGGCGGGATCACTCCGTCGCCTTCTATTTATGAGGGTGTGTTTTTTCATACGTTATTGCAGTAAACAGGGAGCTATGAGGTAGAATGATCGTGATATTGAGGGGAACGCAAATAAGAATTATCAGCATACACAGATTAGGTCCAGAGGCAAAATACCCATCCGGGTTTGTATCTCCAAAAATTCTTTGCATCAGTGTACCAATTCGCTGGTACCAGCTTGCTCACCGCCAAATGTGGGTATCCTCTCCAAGTTCAAGCTTTCAATACTGGCCCCTATCAAACTTGCTGTAACGTTATGGTAAAGGAAGATTGAACAAGCATCTACACAGCAATCACTTCCAAGCAAGGCCATGTGCAATTTGATTCCTACGCAAAACCGCTCTCATTATAATAGATACACTCTATGTTGTTTATAATCCAATCGACTGGTAATACTCGTCGCACCATGCGTACAACAGCAGCATCTCCAGTGTGCATTTATCTACTGCAGCTGCCGTATTGCTTGCCCCACAAGACGATGTCCACTGTGTCCTGTACACCGAGTTCTCTTGTCTCCACGCACACGCTCTGATCCGTTGACTCTTTCGACGATCTTGAGGGAAATCCTCATCTAGCTGAGCCAGTTCCAGACTCCAAAAATCGTCCAGCAGCGTCGTGTCATCTTGGCCGCCGAACAGGAATACACGCGGCACCTTACTACCTGGCAGTGAGGAAACAAAGGCGCTAGCAGCCCAGTACCGAGGCACAGGACGCTGTTCGTCAAGAGCGCTCTCATCCTCTCCAGATGCAGTAGCGACAGTTCTCCATCCGTCGATCAGATCTTCGAGACGCTTCAAACGAACGTCCAGTCGCGACTCGAAGCGAGAAGCTGCCATCGCCGTCCTGGACCCGAGAGACGCTCGTCGAGGAGACTTGAGTCCACGCCCGACAGCCATCAACTCAAACGGAGTCAGCAACGTTGCCCGTCCTGCATGAACTCTCCTCTCAGCGATACTGGGGCTCTCTCTGTCGGTCAGAGACGCAAGTTGCGTCCATCGAGCAGTTGGCGCGACACCGAGCGCCACACTGGGGGTATAATCCAGTCGATACAAGTCGCTCAGTTCCGAGCCAGTACCTCCCGCTGTGCCTCCGAAGATGAACATACTGCTCCCGACTACGACAACCGAGTGCTGGAACCGCGCGGTCGGGGCCGTTCCCGTTGCTATGGACGACAGATTCGTCCACGTGAAGGCAGGAACGCAAGGCGCAACGTCGAAAGTGACGTCCCACGAGTCCAGGGTCCCGACAAAGCCGTCCGCTGCAGTGTCAGTCAACTCAAGCGTCCAGTTCCCGGCAACAGGCAGCTGATGGAAGACCGAGAGCGCTTCGAGACTAGACGTCGACACGAACTGCAGTTTCTCCGTTCCTGGGGCGCATTCACTCTTATCTGCAGCTTCGTCGGGACTACGTAGCAACACAGGGAACGCTCTGGCATTCGGCGCAGTGCCAGTCGCTCTCTTGTCTCCTTGTAGGCTCCTCAGTCCTTGACTATCGCTCCACGTCGTCTCTCGAGCTTGTGAATCAACAGGAAAGTGAGCACTCTGCTGTCGACCTGGAAACGTTGCAGGTCCGGGGCCAAACACCTGCAAGCCAAGTGTGTGCGGACACGCGTGTGTTATCTGCACACTCACAGACACGTTGACAACGCAGAGTTGCTCTCCACCAGCACTACCACTCTTCCTCCCAAGCGCAAAGACTTGTCCTCCATCCGGAATAGACAAAGCCGATGGCTGACGAGAATCCAGCGACACTGACGTCTGTTTCGCTGTACTGGAGGAGACCGACAGCTCCCACAAATCATTCAGGGCTCGAGGTCCCCACGTCGAGGCGTCATTTGCGTCCGACACGTCGTTCTGCCGTCCTCCGAACAGAATCAAGCGGTCATTCACCACTGCCATCGAGTGTTTCTCTCTTGGAGAAGGTATCAACGCTGGCGGAGGCACAGACCACCACGTCTCCGTGCGCAGATCATATCGCCAGAAATCGTTGGACACTGATCGTGGACTCGGCTGTAATAAACACGGCACTTTGTGTGCTCGGCTGCACTCGTAGCTCTTCGCCATTCCTCCAAAGAGGTACAGAGAATTGTCCAGCAATGTGAGGGAATGTCCTCGTCTAGCAGACGGAAATCGCTGCAAGGGAGGAGTGTTGGTGACGCGCATTCCTGCTCTCGTGTTCTCCTCGTCTACAGTTCGAGTGACGCAACGTCTCCACGTATTCCTCGGCTTCGTAGGCATACGCAGCGTAACGACATCACTGAAAGTGCCACGTCCATCGAGCAGCAAAGCTTTCACTCGGAAACGGTACGCAGCCGTCGGCGTGAGACCGTGGAGGGTAAGAGTACCGCTCTTCTCCGTGACATCAGTGGCCGGAAGAGTGACCAAACGTACAAGACGAAAGTCCTCATTGACGGAGCGATTGGCCATCTCGATCACGAATCCTTCCACGAGCTGGGAGAAGCCAAAACGAGGAGCTTTCCAGCTCACTTTGACGCTCGAGGATGTCAGTGGAGTCACTCGGAGCTTGTCTACGGTCTCGTCACTCACTCGTGCTCGCAGACTAGCGTCACTAATCCCAGATTTGAACGAATTAAACAGGTCTCTAAAGGAGACGAAGCTGCTGCCTCCACCGCCTCCAGCTCCGTCAACACCTGCGCCTCCTCCTCCGCCACCGAAAAACCCTCCACCTCCGCCTCCACCCGCTTGTTTGCCACTCTGTCCACTCCCGCCACTTCCATTTCGACCATTCGAAGGCCAATGCGATGCTGTCAACGGAGACACGGCGACGTCCACCAGAGATGTCTGCGGGTTCAACAGACACGTGCCTTCAAGAGAATAGCGATAGGAACCTGCAGCCCCCGCCACACCTGCCGTTGTTGGCGTGGCGCCTGTGCCTCCAGTTGCTAGAACGGAGTAGTCTGCACTACTCGCAGCAAAGCCCCAGTCGAGGTGTCCATGTCTCGCTGAGAGTCCCTCGAAGTCTCTCGTGTCTCCCGGTACATTCGAGGAATGATATTCGTCTCTAGCTGCTTGTCCAGTCACACGTGAGTCGAGTGGGATCGTTGTCGCATCCGGTGCAAGACCAGACTCTGCTTCATCCAAGCCACCGCCGCCTCCTCCATGGGCACAACAGTAATCCGTCGAGCCCGCACCGCCACCTCCAGCAGCTACGACGGCTGTTCGTCCATTCACGCGCACTTCAGACGCGCCACCGCCCCCGCCGCCTGGGAAATCGCCTGTGCCGCCGTTTCCACCGCCGTTGAACCCACCCCGACCGTCTTGAAGGCCTCCACCGCCAACCAAAATGTCCACAGCATCACCGGCACTGACACGGAAAACTCCACGTGCAAAGGCGCCTCCTCCGCCGTTACTCAAGTCGCTTGAAGCTCCGTTTGACGACCTCGCACCAGCTCCCCCAGCGCCCCAGGCGTAGACATCAAGAGCAACAATTCGATGCGCAAGATGAGGAGCAGACTGGTCAATTGGAACTCGATAGGTCTGGACACTTCCCGTGTAGAAGAAGGAATGTTCCGCCAGTCTTTCGCCCGACCACGTGACTGGAAAGACAAGAACAGCTCCGTGCTCGCCAGGTTTGGCTTCATCGCCACTGGTAGAGCCGCCACTGCCGCCGTTCCCAGTCAACTGGACGTAGTACCAGTCCTGTGTGTTAGCGCATTGCTGACGAGCTGCAGCAATCACCACTTGGCGTGTTCCAAGGGTTAAATCCTTGACGTTGTCGCTGTTCGATTCGTCTTCAACCGTGTAATCTGTCAGGAACTCTGTGGACTGGGAGAAGCTACCAGCTTGCCGTTCAGCTACCGCTCTGACGCGCGTGACGTACGTGGTGTATCCTTTCAGCGACGTCATTGAGATGTTGGCGAGTCGACTGCTGCAGTCCACCAGCTCAGCTGGCAATCGCGTCCACGTCGAGCCAAGAGTTGTGCGGTATTCCACATCGTAGGTTAGCTCTTCCGGTGCATGACCGCCCAGCACCTCAGGTGTGTTCCAGACCACAGTAAGCGGGTCTCGAGCTACCCGTAAGTTCGCCACAGCACCCGGAGCTGTTTGCAACGTTGTGAATTTGGCTGAAGGCAAACTGAAAGGTCCTTGGCCGTTGGCATTCGTCGCAGCAACTCGAAACTCGCAGGTGGAACCTGGCGGACGATCCAAGGACGCAACAACAGTTACAAAGGTGTCACTGTTGCCACTAAACCCCGGCGGTATACGCTCACTGATCGTAGTCCAGCCGATCTCACTGTCGCATTGTTGCTGAGCCTGGAAGCTGGTGACGGGGAAGAATTCCCTAGCGAAGATGCCATTTTCCTGCGTGAGTTCTCGACGCATACGCCACGAGATCGTGACATGAGAAGTCGTTGCCGCTAGTAGCTCGGGGGTTGAAGGAGCTCGCGGTACTGGCGTCGCTGGGATCTCCAGTGGTTCACTACTTGCACTCCATGAACTCCAGCCAATAGCGTACGAATACTGCGCTCGAACACGGAAGCTGAAGGCTCGACCAGTCTGCAGTCCCGTGACTTGGTAGCTGCATTCATCCGAGCAAATACGTCCATGTCGACCAGGAGAACTCGGAGCCATGCGCAGATACTGAACAGCTACTTGGTCTCCGTCTCCAGTCCACTGAGCTGACACTGTCTCTGTATACAGCGACAGCAACGGCAGCGGATCTTCGCCGTCGTACGCCACGAGATCAAAGAGAATGATCCACTCGAACGCTCCATCAGCGTCCAGCGCATTCCTCTCCACCTGCACCTGTGTGACCTGCTCCAGAGACTCGATCGCTGTCTTCATGGCGTCTGCACTGGCGTCGAAAGCGATCGGAGGCGTCACCACACCAGCAGTAGCTCGTCCGCCCAGGATACTCGGACTGGAGCCTTCATACGACAAGCCAAGTCTGAAATACCCATCGTTGATGGACTCGCCATCGTCTGCACGAGTGAAAATACGCTGCTTGGGCACGTGTTCCGTGGCTTGAGCACCTAAGTCGACGCGAAATCCGGTCAGTGAATCCCCCAGCGACTGCCAGACGCCTGACCCAGACACTGCGTACTGAACTTCGTAGGCTTCGACACTAGCAGTACCGCCAGAGGCCTCGAGCGCATTGTCAAAGGCTGACCAGGAGACTAACGCATAGGCAGAGACTGGATTCCCAGGTGCCACACGCTGCAGCTCTGCGTAGACTTGTCGATCCACCTGGACTAAGGCCGCTGGGACATCAACGAACAGTGCCGACACCAACCAGATGCGTATCCAACGCATCGAGGAACTGAGCCGATACCAATCACCTTCACGCGACCCTTGCCGAAGATCGGACAACGGCCATACCCGATTGAACTCGTTCACGACGTCGAGGTCCTGCATGCGCGGGATGATAGAGAGCTCTTGGTCTTGTTATGGAGGTGACTTCCATGTGGCTTCGATAGGTTGCAGGTCTGCCGTACACATGAGCAAAGCCACCGATCCCGCCGATGCTGTGGAGCACTGTCGAGGCGAATGGGATGGCCGCATCAACGTGATCGAGCGTACGTCATAGTGAACCAGACTCCAGTCGAGCACGGGGACACGCGAAGTCAACATACGGAGCGACAAGGCTGTTGGCTAGTGGTAGGCAGGACTCTTGACGTTGATGACGTAGATGCATGGAGTGAACACAGCACCGCGTACGAGAACTGGTTGAGCACAGCAGTACGTACAGCATTGATGGCTTGGACTCAGCAGATTTGGTGCACTGACAAGCATCGTCATAGCCCGAGAGCAGCCCAGACATGAAGACGGTAGTGGTTGAGCACGGCTGAGCTTGAGCTTGGTTAAACAGCACGCAGTTGCCTTGGAATGCAACTTGTCCACTATAATGTGTCTACGATGCAACTCGACTTTTGTTGTGTGCCAGTAGCTGGTGCCTCGATGCTTGAACTTCACTTGCACCTTGATGTCGCTTCATCCGCAGTTGCTGATGACACTTGAGCTCGACCATGAATCGCCCTCGACCAAGCTTACCAGGACAGTTGCTCGGCGTGCTTCGAGTTGCAGGTACCAGATGCCGTACCTTGAACAGCTTCAAGTTGTCAGCGTGGGTGACTCGAGCCTCGATAGGCCTTGGTCAACCCAATGATGTCCAACGACGGTCGGTGTGACGGTCTCTCAGGACAGTGTAGACACATGAATATGAATATCGTCTGGAGTCTCGACAGCAATCAAGTAGTCGGACCCGGTGCCAGATGCCCGCCGGGACAAGCTGGGCTCGAGCTTCTTGTAGGCCTTGAACTTGTTGGAGCTGCGCACGACCTTCACGTGAGTGACTGGATGCATGCCACTCAATTGATAACAACTCACTGGATAGCCCATCCGCTGTTGAAGTGACAACAATCACGTTAGAAACGGTGTACAAAACAAGAGCGAGTGTGCAAATTGAGTGGCACTACAGTAGATAATAGGCACTCACTCACCCGATGGACAAAAACAGGAATGACTACCGAGGTGCCGCTGACGAATTGCTGCCAATGAACACTTGCCCGCTGGCAGCAATTCGATGCGCTTGTGGTCTCCGACGCAGATTCGCGAATGAAGCTGAAAAGCAAACAGCGGACGCGGCCAGCCAGTGGTTGGTGGCTGAGCTACTTGCGCAAGTAAACAGTCAGCCGGCATCCCATCCGCGGTTCGTGCGCTCGACACTGTCCATCGAGAGCTCGTGCTTGCCAAATTACTCACTGTGGCGGGATCACTCCGTCGCCTTATATTTATGAGGGTGTGTTTTTTCATACGTTATTGCAGTAAACAGGGAGCTATGAGGGTAGAATGATCGTGATATTGAGGGGAACGCGAATAAGAATTATCAGCATACACAGATTAGGTCCAGATGCAAAATACCCATCCGGGTTTGTATCTCCAAAAATTCTTTGCATCAGTGTACCAATTCGCTGGTACCAGCTTGCTCACCGCCAAATGTGGGTATCCTCTCCAAGTTGAAGCTTTCAATACTGGCCCCTATCAAACTTGCTGTAACGTATGGTAAAGGAAGATTGAACAAGCATCTACACAGCAATCACTTCCAAGCAAGGCCATGTGCAATTTGATTCCTACGCAAAACCGCTCTCATTATAATAGATACACTCTATGTTGTTTATAATCCAATCGACTGGTAATACTCGTCGCACCATGCGTACAACAGCAGCATCTCCAGTGTGCATTTATCTACTGCAGCTGCCGTATTGCTTGCCCCACAAGACGATGTCCACTGTGTCCTGTACACCGAGTTCTCTTGTCTCCACGCACACGCTCTGATCCGTTGACTCTTTCGACGATCTTGAGGGAAATCCTCATCTAGCTGAGCCAGTTCCAGACTCCAAAAATCGTCCAGCAGCGTCGTGTCATCTTGGCCGCCGAACAGGAATACACGCGGCACCTTACTGCCTGGCAGTGAGGAAACAAAGGCGCTAGCAGCCCAGTACCGAGGCACAGGACGCTGTTCGTCAAGAGCGCTCTCATCCTCTCCAGATGCAGTAGCGACAGCTCTCCATCCGTCGATCAGATCTTCGAGACGCTTCAAACGAACGTCCAGTTGCGACTCGAAGCGAGAAGCTGCCATCGCCGTCCTGGACCCGAGAGACGCTCGTCGAGGAGACTTGAGTCCACGCCCGACAGCCATCAACTCAAACGGAGTCAGCAACGTCGTTCGTCCTGCATGAACTCTCCTCTCAGCGATACTGGGGCTCTCTCTGTCGGCCAGAGACGCAAGTTGCGTCCATCGAGCAGTTGGCGCGACACCGAGCGCCACACTGGGGGTGTAAAGAGTGACCAAACGTACAAGACGAAAGTCCTCATTGACGGAGCGATTGGCCATCTCGATCACGAATCCTTCCACGAGCTGGGAGAAGCCAAAACGAGGAGCTTTCCAGCTCACTTTGACGCTCGAGGATGTCAGTGGAGTCACTTGGAGCTTGTCTACGGTCTCGTCACTCACTCGTGCTCGCAGACTAGCGTCACTAATCCCAGATTTGGACGAATTAAACAGGTCTCTAAAGGAGACGAAGCTGCTGCCTCCACCGCCTCCAGCTCCGTCAACACCTGCGCCTCCTCCTCCGCCACCGAAGAACCCTCCACCTCCGCCTCCACCCGCTTGTTTGCCACTCTGTCCACTCCCGCCACTTCCATTTCGACCATTCGAAGGCCAATGCGATGCTGTCAACGGAGACACGGCGACGTCCACCAGAGATGTCTGCGGGTTCAACAGACACGTGCCTTCAAGAGAATAGCGATAGGAACCTGCAGTCCCCGCCACACCTGCCGTTGTTGGCGTGGCGCCTGTGCCTCCAGTTGCTAGAACGGAGTAGTCTGCACTACTCGCAGCAAAGCCCCAGTCGAGGTGTCCATGTCTCGCTGGGAGTCCCTCGAAGTCTCTCGTGTCTCCCGGTACATTCGAGGAATGATATTCGTCTCTAGCTGCTTGTCCAGTCACACGTGAGTCGAGTGGGATCGTTGTCGCATCCGGTGCAAGACCAGACTCTGCTTCATCCAAGCCACCGCCGCCTCCTCCATGGGCACAACAGTAATCCGTCGAGCCCGCACCGCCACCTCCAGCAGCTACGACGGCTGTTCGTCCATTCACGCGCACTTCAGACGCGCCACCGCCCCCGCCGCCTGGGAAATCGCCTGTGCCGCCGTTTCCACCGCCGTTGAACCCACCCCGACCGTCTTGAAGGCCTCCACCGCCAACCAAAATGTCCACAGCATCACCGGCACTGACACGGAAAACTCCACGTGCAAAGGCGCCTCCTCCGCCGTTACTCAAGTCGCTTGAAGCTCCGTTTGACGACCTCGCACCAGCTCCCCCAGCGCCCCAGGCGTAGACATCAAGAGCAACAATTCGATGCGCAAGATGAGGAGCAGACTGGTCAATTGGAACTCGATAGGTCTGGACACTTCCCGTGTAGAAGAAGGAATGTTCCGCCAGTCTTTCGCCCGACCACGTGACTGGAAAGACAAGAACAGCTCCGTGCTCGCCAGGTTTGGCTTCATCGCCACTGGTAGAGCCGCCACTGCCGCCGTTCCCAGTCAACTGGACGTAGTACCAGTCCTGTGTGTTAGCGCATTGCTGACGAGCTGCAGCAATCACCACTTGGCGTGTTCCAAGGGTTAAATCCTTGACGTTGTCGCTGTTCGATTCGTCTTCAACCGTGTAATCTGTCAGGAACTCTGCGGACTGGGAGAAGCTACCAGCTTGCCGTTCAGCTACCGCTCTGACGCGCGTGACGTACGTGGTGTATCCTTTCAGCGACGTCATTGAGATGTTGGCGAGTCGACTGCTGCAGTCCACCAGCTCAGCTGGCAATCGCGTCCACGTCGAGCCAAGAGTTGTGCGGTATTCCACATCGTAGGTTAGCTCTTCCGGTGCATGACCGCCCAGCACCTCAGGCGTGTTCCAGACCACAGTAAGCGGGTCTCGAGCTACCCGTAAGTTCGCCACAGCACCCGGAGCTGTTTGCAACGTTGTGAATTTGGCTGAAGGCAAACTGAAAGGTCCTTGGCCGTTGGCATTCGTCGCAGCAACTCGAAACTCGCAGGTGGAACCTGGCGGACGCTCCAAGGACGCAACAACAGTTACAAAGGTGTCACTGTTGCCACTAAACCCCGGCGGTATACGCTCACTGATCGTAGTCCAGCCGATCTCACTGTCGCATTGTTGCTGAGCCTGGAAGCTGGTGACGGGGAAGAATTCCCTAGCGAAGATGCCATTTTCCTGCGTGAGTTCTCGACGCATACGCCACGAGATCGTGACATGAGAAGTCGTTGCCGCTAGTAGCTCGGGGGTTGAAGGAGCTCGCGGTACTGGCGTCGCTGGGATCTCCAGTGGTTCACTACTTGCACTCCATGAACTCCAGCCAATAGCGTACGAATACTGCGCTCGAACACGGAAGCTGAAGGCTCGACCAGTCTGCAGTCCCGTGACTTGGTAGCTGCATTCATCCGAGCAAATACGTCGATGTCGACCAGGAGAACTCGGAGCCATGCGCAGATACTGAACAGCTACTTGGTCTCCGTCTCCAGTCCACTGAGCTGACACTGTCTCTGTATACAGCGACAGCAACGGCAGCGGATCTTCGCCGTCGTACGCCACGAGATCAAAGGGGATGATCCACTCGAACGCTCCATCAGCGTCCAGCGCATTCCTCTCCACCTGCACCTGTGTGACCTGCTCCAGAGACTCGATCGCTGTCTTCATGGCGTCTGCACTGGCGTCGAAAGCGATCGGAGGCGTCACCACACCAGCAGTAGCTCGTCCGCCCAGGATACTCGGGCTGGAGCCTTCATACGACAAGCCAAGTCTGAAATACCCATCGTTGATGGACTCGCCATCGTCTGCACGAGTGAAAATACGCTGCTTGGGCACGTGTTCCGTGGCTTGAGCACCCAAGTCGACGCGAAATCCGGTCAGTGAATCCCCCAGCGACTGCCAGACGCCTGACCCAGACACTGCGTACTGAACTTCGTAGGCTTCGACACTAGCAGTACCGCCAGAGGCCTCGAGCGCATTGTCAAAGGCTGACCAGGAGACTAACGCATAGGCAGAGACTGGATTCCCAGGTGCCACACGCTGCAGCTCTGCGTAGACTTGTCGATCCACCTGGACTAAGGCCGCTGGGACATCAACGAACAGTGCCGACACCAACCAGATGCGTATCCAACGCATCGAGGAACTGAGCCGATACCAATCACCTTCACGCGACCCTTGCCGAAGATCGGACAACGGCCATACCCGATTGAACTCGTTCACGACGTCGAGGTCCTGCATGCGCGGGATGATAGAGAGCTCTTGGTCTTGTTATGGAGGTGACTTCCATGTGGCTTCGATAGGTTGCAGGTCTGCCGTACACATGAGCAAAGCCACCGATCCCGCCGATGCTGTGGAGCACTGTCGAGGCGAATGGGATGGCCGCATCAACGTGATCGAGCGTACGTCATAGTGAACCAGACTCCAGTCGAGCACGGGGACACGCGAAGTCAACATACGGAGCGACAAGGCTGTTGGCTAGTGGTAGGCAGGAGTCTTGACGTTGATGACGTAGATGTACATGGTGAACACAGCACCGCGTACGAGAACTGGTTGAGCACAGCAGTACGTACAGCATTGATGGCTTGGACTCAGCAGATTTGGTGCACTGACAAGCATCGTCATAGCCCGAGAGCAGCCCAGACATGAAGACGGTAGTGGTTGAGCACGGCTGAGCTTGAGCTTGGTTAAACAGCACGCAGTTGCCTTGGAATGCAACTTGTCCACTATAATGTGTCTACGATGCAACTCGACTTTTGTTGTGTGCCAGTAGCTGGTGCCTCGATGCTTGAACTTCACTTGCACCTTGATGTCGCTTCATCCGCAGTTGCTGATGACACTTGAGCTCGACCATGAATCGCCCTCGACCAAGCTTACCAGGACAGTTGCTCGGCGTGCTTCGAGTTGCAGGTACCAGATGCCGTACCTTGAACAGCTTCAAGTTGTCAGCGTGGGTGACTCGAGCCTCGATAGGCCTTGGTCAACCCAATGATGTCCAACGACGGTCGGTGTGACGGTCTCTCAGGACAGTGTAGACACATGAATATGAATATCGTCTGGAGTCTCGACAGCAATCAAGTAGTCGGACCCGGTGCCAGATGCCCGCCGGGACAAGCTGGGCTCGAGCTTCTTGTAGGCCTTGAACTTGTTGGAGCTGCGCACGACCTTCACGTGAGTGACTGGATGCATGCCACTCAATTGATAACAACTCACTGGATAGCCCATCCGCTGTTGAAGTGACAACAATCACGTTAGAAACGGTGTACAAAACAAGAGCGAGTGTGCAAATTGAGTGGCACTACAGTAGATAATAGGCACTCACTCACCCGATGGACAAAAACAGGAATGACTACCGAGGTGTCGCTGACGAATTGCTGCCAATGAACACTTGCCCGCTGGCAGCAATTCGATGCGCTTGTGGTCTCCGACGCAGATTCGCGAATGAAGCTGAAAAGCAAACAGCGGACGCGGCCAGCCAGTGGTTGGTGGCTGAGCTACTTGCGCAAGTAAACAGTCAGCCGGCATCCCATCCGCGGTTCGTGCGCTCGACACTGTCCATCGAGAGCTCGTGCTTGCCAAATTACTCACTGTGGCGGGATCACTCCGTCGCCTTATATTTATGAGGGTGTGTTTTTTCATACGTTATTGCAGTAAACAGGGAGCTATGAGGGTAGAATGATCGTGATATTGAGGGGAACGCAAATAAGAATTATCAGCATACACAGATTAGGTCCAGATGCAAAATACCCATCCGGGTTTGTATCTCCAAAAATTCTTTGCATCAGTGTACCAATTCGCTGGTACCAGCTTGCTCACCGCCAAATGTGGGTATCCTCTCCAAGTTGAAGCTTTCAATACTGGCCCCTATCAAACTTGCTGTAACGTATGGTAAAGGAAGATTGAACAAGCATCTACACAGCAATCACTTCCAAGCAAGGCCATGTGCAATTTGATTCCTACGCAAAACCGCTCTCATTATAATAGATACACTCTATGTTGTTTATAATCCAATCGACTGGTAATACTCGTCGCACCATGCGTACAACAGCAGCATCTCCAGTGTGCATTTATCTACTGCAGCTGCCGTATTGCTTGCCCCACAAGACGATGTCCACTGTGTCCTGTACACCGAGTTCTCTTGTCTCCACGCACACGCTCTGATCCGTTGACTCTTTCGACGATCTTGAGGGAAATCCTCATCTAGCTGAGCCAGTTCCAGACTCCAAAAATCGTCCAGCAGCGTCGTGTCATCTTGGCCGCCGAACAGGAATACACGCGGCACCTTACTGCCTGGCAGTGAGGAAACAAAGGCGCTAGCAGCCCAGTACCGAGGCACAGGACGCTGTTCGTCAAGAGCGCTCTCATCCTCTCCAGATGCAGTAGCGACAGCTCTCCATCCGTCGATCAGATCTTCGAGACGCTTCAAACGAACGTCCAGTTGCGACTCGAAGCGAGAAGCTGCCATCGCCGTCCTGGACCCGAGAGACGCTCGTCGAGGAGACTTGAGTCCACGCCCGACAGCCATCAACTCAAACGGAGTCAGCAACGTTGCCCGTCCTGCATGAACTCTCCTCTCAGCGATACTGGGGCTCTCTCTGTCGGTCAGAGACGCAAGTTGCGTCCATCGAGCAGTTGGCGCGACACCGAGCGCCACACTGCGGGTATAATCCAGTCGATACAAGTCGCTCAGCTCCGAGCCAGTACCTCCCGCTGTGCCTCCGAAGATGAACATACTGCTCCCGACTACGACAACCGAGTGCTGGAACCGCGCGGTCGGGGCCGTTCCCGTTGCTATGGACGACAGATTCGTCCACGTGAAGGCAGGAACGCAAGGAGCAACGTCGAAAGTGACGTCCCACGAGTCCAGGGTCCCGACAAAGCCGTCCGCTGCAGTGTCAGTCAACTCAAGCGTCCAGTTCCCGGCAACAGGCAGCTGATGGAAGACCGAGAGCGCTTCGAGACTAGACGTCGACACGAACTGCAGTTTCTCCGTTCTTGGGACGCATTCACTCTTATCTGCAGCTTCGTCGGGACTACGTAGCAACACAGGGAACGCTCTGGCATTCGGCGCAGTGCCAGTCGCTCTCTTGTCTCCTTGTAGGCTCCTCAGTCCTTGACTATCGCTCCACGTCGTCTCTCGAGCTTGTGAATCAACAGGAAAGTGAGCACTCTGCTGTCGACCTGGAAACGTTGCAGGTCCGGGGCCAAACACCTGCAAGCCAAGTGTGTGCGGACACGCGTGTGTTATCTGCACACTCACAGACACGTTGACAACGCAGAGTTGCTCTCCACCAGCACTACCACTCTTCCTCCCAAGCGCAAAGACTTGTCCTCCATCCGGAATAGACAAAGCCGATGGCTGACGAGAATCCAGCGACACTGACGTCTGTTTCGCTGTACTGGAGGAGACTGACAGCTCCCACAAATCATTCAGGGCTCGAGGTCCCCACGTCGAGGCGTCATTTGCGTCCGACACGTCGTTCTGCCGTCCTCCGAATAGAATCAAGCGGTCATTCACCACTGCCATCGAGTGTTTCTCTCTTGGAGAAGGTATCAACGCTGGCGGAGGCACAGACCACCACGTCTCCGTGCGCAGATCATATCGCCAGAAATCGTTGGACACTGATCGTGGACTCGGCTGTAATAAACACGGCACTTTGTGTGCTCGGCTGCACTCGTAGCTCTTCGCCATTCCTCCAAAGAGGTACAGAGAATTGTCCAGCAATGTGAGGGAATGTCCTCGTCTAGCAGACGGAAATCGCTGCAAGGGAGGAGTGTTGGTGACGCGCATTCCTGCTCTCGTGTTCTCCTCGTCTACAGTTCGAGTGACGCAACGTCTCCACGTATTCCTCGGCTTCGTAGGCATACGCAGCGTAACGACATCACTGAAAGTGCCACGTCCATCGAGCAGCAAAGCTTTCACTCGGAAACGATACGCAGCCGTCGGCGTAAGACCGTGGAGGGTAAGAGTACCGCTCTTCTCCGTGACGTCAGTGGCCGGAAGAGTGACCAAACGTACAAGACGAAAGTCCTCATTGACGGAGCGATTGGCCATCTCGATCACGAATCCTTCCACGAGCTGGGAGAAGCCAAAACGAGGAGCTTTCCAGCTCACTTTGACGCTCGAGGATGTCAGTGGAGTCACTTGGAGCTTGTCTACGGTCTCGTCACTCACTCGTGCTCGCAGACTAGCGTCACTAATCCCAGATTTGGACGAATTAAACAGGTCTCTAAAGGAGACGAAGCTGCTGCCTCCACCGCCTCCAGCTCCGTCAACACCTGCGCCTCCTCCTCCGCCACCGAAGAACCCTCCACCTCCGCCTCCACCCGCTTGTTTGCCACTCTGTCCACTCCCGCCACTTCCATTTCGACCATTCGAAGGCCAATGCGATGCTGTCAACGGAGACACGGCGACGTCCACCAGAGATGTCTGCGGGTTCAACAGACACGTGCCTTCAAGAGAATAGCGATAGGAACCTGCAGTCCCCGCCACACCTGCCGTTGTTGGCGTGGCGCCTGTGCCTCCAGTTGCTAGAACGGAGTAGTCTGCACTACTCGCAGCAAAGCCCCAGTCGAGGTGTCCATGTCTCGCTGGGAGTCCCTCGAAGTCTCTCGTGTCTCCCGGTACATTCGAGGAATGATATTCGTCTCTAGCTGCTTGTCCAGTCACACGTGAGTCGAGTGGGATCGCTGCACCGGATGTTGCATCCGGTGCAAGACCAGACTCTGCTTCATCCAAGCCACCGCCGCCTCCTCCATGGGCACAACAGTAATCCGTCGAGCCCGCACCGCCACCTCCAGCAGCTACGACGGCTGTTCGTCCATTCACGCGCACTTCAGACGCGCCACCGCCTCCGCCGCCTGGGAAATCGCCTGTGCCGCCGTTTCCACCGCCGTTGAACCCACCACGACCGTCTTGAAGGCCTCCACCGCCAACTAAAATGTCCACAGCATCACCGGCACTGACACGGAAAACTCCACGTGCAAAGGCGCCTCCTCCGCCGTTACTCAAGTCGCTTGAAGCTCCGTTTGAAGACCTCGCACCAGCTCCCCCAGCGCCCCAAGCGTAGACATCAAGAGCAACAATTCGATGCGCAAGATGAGGAGCAGACTGGTCAATTGGAACTCGATAGGTCTGGACACTTCCCGTGTAGAAAAAAGAATGTTCCGCCGGTCTTTCGCCCGACCACGTGACTGGAAAGACAAGAACAGCTCCGTGCTCGCCAGGTTTGGCTTCATCGCCACTGGTAGAGCCGCCACTGCCGCCGTTCCCAGTCAACTGGACGTAGTACCAGTCCTGTGTGTTAGCGCATTGCTGACGAGCTGCAGCAATCACCACTTGGCGTGTTCCAAGGGTTAAATCCTTGACGTTGTCGCTGTTCGAGTCGTCTTCAACCGTGTAATCTGTCAGGAACTCTGCGGACTGGGAGAAGCTACCAGCTTGCCGTTCAGCTACCGCTCTGACGCGCGTGACGTACGTGGTGTATCCTTTCAGCGACGTCATTGAGATGTTGGCGAGTCGACTGCTGCAGTCCACCAGCTCAGCTGGCAATCGCGTCCACGTCGAGCCGAGAGTTGTGCGGTATTCCACATCGTAGGTTAGCTCTTCCAGTGCATGTCCGCCCAGCACCTCAGGCGTGTTCCAGACCACAGTAAGCGGGTTTCGAGCTACCCGTAAGTTCGCCACAGCACCCGGAGCTGTTTGCAACGTTGTGAATTTGGCTGAAGGCAAACTGAAAGGTCCTTGGCCGTTGGCATTCGTCGCAGCAACTCGAAACTCGCAGGTGGAACCTGGCGGACGCTCCAAGGACGCAACAACAGTTACAAAGGTGTCACTGTTGCCACTAAACCCCGGCGGTATACGCTCACTGATCGTAGTCCAGCCGATCTCACTGTCGCATTGTTGCTGAGCCTGGAAGCTGGTGACGGGGAAGAATTCCCTAGCGAAGATGCCATTTTCCTGCGTGAGTTCTCGACGCATACGCCACGAGATCGTGACATGAGAAGTCGTTGCCGCTAGTAGCTCGGGGGTTGAAGGAGCTCGCGGTACTGGCGTTGCTGGGATCTCCAGTGGTTCACTACTTGCACTCCATGAACTCCAGCCAATAGCGTACGAATACTGCGCTCGAACACGGAAGCTGAAGGCTCGACCAGTCTGCAGTCCCGTGACTTGGTAGCTGCATTCATCCGAGCAAATACGTCCATGTCGATCAGGAGAACTCGGAGCCATGCGCAGATACTGAACAGCTACTTGGTCTCCGTCTCCAGTCCACTGAGCTGACACTGTCTCTGTATACAGCGACAGCAACGGCAGCGGATCTTCGCCGTCGTACGCCACGAGATCAAAGAGAATGATCCACTCGAACGCTCCATCAGCGTCCAGCGCATTCCTCTCCACCTGCACCTGTGTGACCTGCTCCAGAGACTCGATCGCTGTCTTCATGGCGTCTGCACTGGCGTCGAAAGCGATCGGAGGCGTCACCACACCAGCAGTAGCTCGTCCGCCCAGGATACTCGGACTGGAGCCTTCATACGACAAGCCAAGTCTGAAATACCCATCGTTGATGGACTCGCCATCGTCTGCACGAGTGAAAATACGCTGCTTGGGCACGTGTTCCGTGGCTTGAGCACCTAAGTCGACGCGAAATCCGGTCAGTGAATCCCCCAGCGACTGCCAGACGCCTGACCCAGACACTGCGTACTGAACTTCGTAGGATTCGACACTAGCAGTACCGCCAGAGGCCTCGAGCGCATTGTCAAAGGCTGACCAGGAGACTAACGCATAGGCAGAGACTGGATTCCCAGGTGCCACACGCTGCAGCTCTGCGTAGACTTGTCGATAGGTCCACCCCACCTGGACTAAGGCCGCTGGGACATCAACGAACAGTGCCGACACCAACCAGATGCGTATCCAACGCATCGAGGAACTGAGCCGATACCAATCACCTTCACGCGACCCTTGCCGAAGATCGGACAACGGCCATACCCGATTGAACTCGTTCACGACGTCGAGGTCCTGCATGCGCGGGATGATAGAGAGCTCTTGGTCTTGTTATGGAGGTGACTTCCATGTGGCTTCGATAGGTTGCAGGTCTGCCGTACACATGAGCAAAGCCACCGATCCCGCCGATGCTGTGGAGCACTGTCGAGGCGAATGGGATGGCCGCATCAACGTGATCGAGCGTACGTCATAGTGAACCAGACTCCAGTCGAGCACGGGGACACGCGAAGTCAACATACGGAGCGACAAGGCTGTTGGCTAGTGGTAGGCAGGAGTCTTGACGTTGATGACGTAGATGCATGGAGTGAACACAGCACCGCGTACGAGAACTGGTTGAGCACAGCAGTACGTACAGCATTGATGGCTTGGACTCAGCAGATTTGGTGCACTGACAAGCATCGTCATAGCCCGAGAGCAGCCCAGACATGAAGACGGTAGTGGTTGAGCACGGCTGAGCTTGAGCTTGGTTAAACAGCACGCAGTTGCCTTGGAATGCAACTTGTCCACTATAATGTGTCTACGATGCAACTCGACTTTTGTTGTGTGCCAGTAGCTGGTGCTCGATGCTTGAACTTCACTTGCACCTTGATGTCGCTTCATCCGCAGTTGCTGATGACACTTGAGCTCGACCATGAATCGCCCTCGACCAAGCTTACCAGGACAGTTGCTCGGCGTGCTTCGAGTTGCAGGTACCAGATGCCGTACCTTGAACAGCTTCAAGTTGTCAGCGTGGGTGACTCGAGCCTCGATAGGCCTTGGTCAACCCAATGATGTCCAACGACGGTCGGTGTGACGGTCTCTCAGGACAGTGTAGACACATGAATATGAATATCGTCTGGAGTCTCGACAGCAATCAAGTAGTCGGACCCGGTGCCAGATGCCCGCCGGGACAAGCTGGGCTCGAGCTTCTTGTAGGCCTTGAACTTGTTGGAGCTGCGCACGACCTTCACGTGAGTGACTGGATGCATGCCACTCAATTGATAACAACTCACTGGATAGCCCATCCGCTGTTGAAGTGACAACAATCACGTTAGAAACGGTGTACAAAACAAGAGCGAGTGTGCAAATTGAGTGGCACTACAGTAGATAATAGGCACTCACTCACCCGATGGACAAAAACAGGAATGACTACCGAGGTGCCGCTGACGAATTGCTGCCAATGAACACTTGCCCGCTGGCAGCAATTCGATGCGCTTGTGGTCTCCGACGCAGATTCGCGAATGAAGCTGAAAAGCAAACAGCGGACGCGGCCAGCCAGTGGTTGGTGGCTGAGCTACTTGCGCAAGTAAACAGTCAGCCGGCATCCCATCCGCGGTTCGTGCGCTCGACACTGTCCATCGAGAGCTCGTGCTTGCCAAATTACTCACTGTGGCGGGATCACTCCGTCGCCTTATATTTATGAGGGTGTGTTTTTTCATACGTTATTGCAGTAAACAGGGAGCTATGAGGGTAGAATGATCGTGATATTGAGGGGAACGCGAATAAGAATTATCAGCATACACAGATTAGGTCCAGATGCAAAATACCCATCCGGGTTTGTATCTCCAAAAATTCTTTGCATCAGTGTACCAATTCGCTGGTACCAGCTTGCTCACCGCCAAATGTGGGTATCCTCTCCAAGTTGAAGCTTTCAATACTGGCCCCTATCAAACTTGCTGTAACGTATGGTAAAGGAAGATTGAACAAGCATCTACACAGCAATCACTTCCAAGCAAGGCCATGTGCAATTTGATTCCTACGCAAAACCGCTCTCATTATAATAGATACACTCTATGTTGTTTATAATCCAATCGACTGGTAATACTCGTCGCACCATGCGTACAACAGCAGCATCTCCAGTGTGCATTTATCTACTGCAGCTGCCGTATTGCTTGCCCCACAAGACGATGTCCACTGTGTCCTGTACACCGAGTTCTCTTGTCTCCACGCACACGCTCTGATCCGTTGACTCTTTCGACGATCTTGAGGGAAATCCTCATCTAGCTGAGCCAGTTCCAGACTCCAAAAATCGTCCAGCAGCGTCGTGTCATCTTGGCCGCCGAACAGGAATACACGCGGCACCTTACTGCCTGGCAGTGAGGAAACAAAGGCGCTAGCAGCCCAGTACCGAGGCACAGGACGCTGTTCGTCAAGAGCGCTCTCATCCTCTCCAGATGCAGTAGCGACAGCTCTCCATCCGTCGATCAGATCTTCGAGACGCTTCAAACGAACGTCCAGTTGCGACTCGAAGCGAGAAGCTGCCATCGCCGTCCTGGACCCGAGAGACGCTCGTCGAGGAGACTTGAGTCCACGCCCGACAGCCATCAACTCAAACGGAGTCAGCAACGTCGTTCGTCCTGCATGAACTCTCCTCTCAGCGATACTGGGGCTTTCTCTGTCGGTCAGAGACGCAAGTTGCGTCCATCGAGCAGTTGGCGCGACACCGAGCGCCACACTGGGGGTGTAAAGAGTGACCAAACGTACAAGACGAAAGTCCTCATTGACGGAGCGATTGGCCATCTCGATCACGAATCCTTCCACGAGCTGGGAGAAGCCAAAACGAGGAGCTTTCCAGCTCACTTTGACGCTCGAGGATGTCAGTGGAGTCACTTGGAGCTTGTCTACGGTCTCGTCACTCACTCGTGCTCGCAGACTAGCGTCACTAATCCCAGATTTGGACGAATTAAACAGGTCTCTAAAGGAGACGAAGCTGCTGCCTCCACCGCCTCCAGCTCCGTCAACACCTGCGCCTCCTCCTCCGCCACCGAAGAACCCTCCACCTCCGCCTCCACCCGCTTGTTTGCCACTCTGTCCACTCCCGCCACTTCCATTTCGACCATTCGAAGGCCAATGCGATGCTGTCAACGGAGACACGGCGACGTCCACCAGAGATGTCTGCGGGTTCAACAGACACGTGCCTTCAAGAGAATAGCGATAGGAACCTGCAGTCCCCGCCACACCTGCCGTTGTTGGCGTGGCGCCTGTGCCTCCAGTTGCTAGAACGGAGTAGTCTGCACTACTCGCAGCAAAGCCCCAGTCGAGGTGTCCATGTCTCGCTGGGAGTCCCTCGAAGTCTCTCGTGTCTCCCGGTACATTCGAGGAATGATATTCGTCTCTAGCTGCTTGTCCAGTCACACGTGAGTCGAGTGGGATCGCTGCACCGGATGTTGCATCCGGTGCAAGACCAGACTCTGCTTCATCCAAGCCACCGCCGCCTCCTCCATGGGCACAACAGTAATCCGTCGAGCCCGCACCGCCACCTCCAGCAGCTACGACGGCTGTTCGTCCATTCACGCGCACTTCAGACGCGCCACCGCCTCCGCCGCCTGGGAAATCGCCTGTGCCGCCGTTTCCACCGCCGTTGAACCCACCACGACCGTCTTGAAGGCCTCCACCGCCAACTAAAATGTCCACAGCATCACCGGCACTGACACGGAAAACTCCACGTGCAAAGGCGCCTCCTCCGCCGTTACTCAAGTCGCTTGAAGCTCCGTTTGAAGACCTCGCACCAGCTCCCCCAGCGCCCCAAGCGTAGACATCAAGAGCAACAATTCGATGCGCAAGATGAGGAGCAGACTGGTCAATTGGAACTCGATAGGTCTGGACACTTCCCGTGTAGAAAAAAGAATGTTCCGCCGGTCTTTCGCCCGACCACGTGACTGGAAAGACAAGAACAGCTCCGTGCTCGCCAGATTTGGCTTCATCGCCACTGGTAGAGCCGCCACTGCCGCCGTTCCCAGTCAACTGGACGTAGTACCAGTCCTGTGTGTTAGCTTCACGCCTTCGAAGGGCTGCAGCTCCAGAGAACACAGTCTGGTTGATTGTCACTAGGGTCTGTTTGTCTTTGGTGGCCACGAGTTCAGGAATGCGACTCACGTTGATCAGATGTGCGTACTTGAAGCCTTAGAAGTTGGTCTCGATCCCCATTTCCGTGTTCCCACGGGAA